TCTCTCCTATTACATTTATTTATATAAAATTATATCTAATATGAATATAAATATAAATATAAATAAATAATAATTTTTATAAATATTATGAAAAATAAGAATATCTTTAATAAATAATATGATATGATTAATTTAAATTATATATATATCAAATAACTTTTCATATTAATTAATCAAATCTTATCTGAATACAATCCATATAAACCAAATGAAATTGAAATAATAGCAAAGAATATTGAAAATATTAATGTAAACCATGCAAAGCATTTCTTATATATATCGGCATCAATCTTAAATTACTTATCCAAATATAATATTGAAGGTATCAAAAAAGTTACAAAATTCTATGAAGTAGATCCCATTAAACAACTTAATAATAAAATTGGAGGTTTGGCCATTGCAAAGAGGAATGCCATTATATAAACAATAATAGTCACATAAAATGAAATCTTTTAATTCTACTTAAGTTTGGCCTCTTCATGTATTGCAAATGATTATCTAAATTTATTTTTCATTGTCTATGATTTTTTATTGTCTTTTTCATCTTCTTTATGAAAATCACCATCAGTTATTAACATGAATTCTACATTCTTCTCTTTAGGAATTAATGGTTTTTTGTCCCAAATATTTAGTACTAAAACAGTCACATATGGAATATATTATAATAATTGCAATTAAGCACTTATTGCAATTAAAATATAGAATATGTAGAAATAGGAATCACCTAAAGGTTATTAAAAATTTTTGGATTGATAAACCATTCTAATTAAATTTCCATATAGTGATGAGAGATCACTATTAACAGAACTAAATGCTATAGCTGCCAAAATAGAGAATGTTAATTCAATACATAATAAAAATAACGAACCTAATAATGCTCCTTGTTTTAATTTCTTTTCTATATCATCATCATTCTCAAATCCTCTTTCTGATGCTCTCCCTGTAAAAAATGATGAATGATAAGCAAAGGCCATTAAAATTGTTGGTGTTGATATAAAGGATTATACAACCTTCTGACTTGATGGATATAGAGTATTGCTAATAGAGTTAGAAATGTCGAAAGAAGCTATTATAATAAAAAAGATAGAAAAGACACCTAACATTCTAGCAATTGCAACTATATAAACTGGATATTTCCATTTAACAAAAAATGGAATCATCAATAGACTTCCAATGAATTATATGAATTATTGTGATGATAATGATACTGCCCACTTTAATATATTATCATAATTACCTAATCTTTAATATTATCTTTAGCCATCATATATATTAAGGATTATATGGAAGACTGAAATACACTCATCAATAAAACTATGTAGAGAAATGCATTAAATATCATGATGCCACGATATATATCAGCTGAGTATTTAGGCATTTGAAATAATTCAAATAACTTTGTTAGAGTTCCTTGCTTCTTTTTGGATCGAGCATAGTATTTAAGATCCAATAAAAGTAAGGATTAAAAGAAACTCAAAATAAAGAAAAACAAGCAACCAAATACTCCGAATATTATCCCTATCATTTAAAAATAAAAGGGTAAAGTTAATGTACTAAATACAAATGAAGAATTGACCACTCGAAGCATAAAATTGAAAGTCTCATTACCTTTCTATCTATGTCTACGAGGTGATAGCATTGGACTACTAATGTCACCAGCTGAATGCCTTATTATTTAATAATCTACTCTAGCATATCGGATGAGCTCGAATTCTTCTTCTTCATTTAATTAAAATTAATAATGAAAAGAACAAAGGAAACTATCTTTAGACAACATCCTGATTGGTAATAAAGACAAGGAATAAGTGGTCTTAAAGAATTTGATGGTGAAGATCTATGTATATCTTCTCATTTTATGTTCGTTAGAATATGATGCTCGAAATAAATATAATAAAGAGTAACAGAAGCAATGGATTTAAGAACAGATTGAAGAAAAGAGAAGAAAATAAGAATAAGAGAAAGCAGAGGAAATGGCCTATGCATAACAAACTTTAGAAATCAATAGATTTAGAGGAATGCTGTAAGATAACTTTGCAGCCAGAAAAACTGATATAGGAGTTGCTACTAAATAAACTAATCTATAATTCGTATTCATTTTATTCTAAATCACTAGGCTAAAGAAAAGAAAGACAAAGAAGAAAGAGATAGATAAGAGAAGTTATAATATGAAAAAAATGAAAGAGATTTATTATTAGAACGTGGACGTAAATAACCCTATAATGGATGATACAATGATTTTATTATCAAAAGTCAAACTTATGACATATTCAATAAAAAATATTCCTTCTCTTAATTATTTATACATAATTTTATTATCTCATTCTAAATATTTTATTTATTTTACATCAAAAGAAATGTATAATAATAAATAAAAATTGAAAAGTTTTAAATTAAATTTTCTATTGAGATTTATATCTATTCTCATATGTATTCTATTTTCATATATATTATCATTAAATTCAGTAATTTTTCTTAATTATTTATTTATTTAATCTATCAATAACTTATTTTTTTAGGTTCTGTAATTTTAGTTTATAAACTTTTTAATTATATGTGTAATGTATTTCAATTATTTCCTTATTGTTTTATTGATTTCAAAGAATTAATTATAATATTATAAGCCAATGAGGATTTAAACCATTTATCTCATTAAATATATAATAAAAATCCAAGCACAAATAATCTACTAATCAAAATTTAAAAATTAATATTAATTTTATAACAGAACATAATGCAAGTGAAGCGAGTTGTACCAAATCCAATAGATAATTTTCATACAGAGCCTCGTTCATCATAATAATCTTGTCATGTGACTAAATCTAAGCCAATTATACCTACTACTCCACTTTAATAATCAAAACCTAACAATTTAATTTAATCCTTAAATGGATTGTGTAAATACTTTAATCAGAAAGAAGAAACAAAATAAATTACTTATTATGCACCAAAAAGTATGTAAAGATCATCTGCTTCATTATCACCCAGAGAAATAATGGCTGCAAATATTTAAGATAATAGTCCGCTTTTGGTAAAGTAACTGTTATATGGTAAAAAGGATCAGAAAGAGAATTTTAATCCTAAAGTAGGTATGAGTATAGTGGAAGCAAAATAAGTGCCTCATTTAAGCATCAATTAAGACTAAAAATTAGTAAAGGTTAATGATAGTAGTCATAAAAAAAGTATGGGTAAATTTGCCAGGAACTAAAAATCTCGAAATGCATCTGTATAATATCATGAAGACTGGAAATTAAAATATGAAGAACTATAACAAAGTTTATGTGAAAGAATTTAATAATTAGAAAATGAATTAGAAGAAATGGAAAAAAATAGAAAAATAGATTAAATGCATTCTGATTAATAAACTAATCAATATATTGAATAATTACAATATATAATTTCTGAAAAAGATTAAGTTATTTATGAATAAGAATTAAAAAATGAGAAATTGTAAAATATTATCGATATGTAACAATAAGAATTATAGAAATTTAAGGAAACCAAATATAAAATAAATGATACTAATGAAATTTAAAGATTATAGTAAATAGATTAAAAATTTCAATAAATCAAAGGACATTTACCAGCACTTAATATTACTCTTAGAAATATTTAATCAATATTTGATGCTGCCTCATCTGAACAATAAATAAATAATTTATCTCTATCCTCTGTCTCTATGGTTGAATTGATTAATGAATTTAACTAAGGTGTTGAAGAGAATACATAAAAGTCAATTAAAAATAATACTATATTGACTTCTAATCTTTCTGAGCCAAAACCAATAAACCTTTCAGAGATTCTAAATAGAAAGAGAAACTTATGATTTCAATAAAATTTACAAAAATTATGATTACTTAATTAAAAGTTGATTGAATTACCTCTTTAATTGGATGGATTCTTATCATGAATTTTATATATTTCTAGTTGAAATTTATCAATTGAATAAAAAAGTATAAATTTTATATATATATATATAAATGGACTTGAATGAATACAAAGAAAATTATTATGATGCAAATATTATGAAAAGAAGAAGAGCTTAATAAGATAAAGTAATGGTTACTCCAATTTTGGAAGTCTTTATGGATATTTGTAAAAAACTAGATTATGTAATTAAAATTAATTTAAAAAGAGACATCAAAAGAATATTTATAGATGGTAATACCAATTAATGAATCAAGAGAAACTCTTTAAAATACAGATTAAATTATCTTATTGAATTATTTAAAATAGATAGCTATATATTTGATAAAATCTAAATTAGAATTAGAGGATAAATTGTGCTCTCTTGGGGATAGCAAGTAATTTGAAATTGAGTTATAGAAGATGGAAGCAGATATAAGATAACATATAAGAGTGCAATAATAACTATAAATTTTACTAGAATAAGCTTAATAAAAGCTAGATGAATTTGAATCTGAAAAACTTAAATCTGAATAGTTTATAACTGAATTAAAAAAAAGTCTTGATAATAAAGAAAAAGAATTGATAACTATTAAAAATGATCTTTAAGATACAAAACATAAAGCAAATCAAAAAGCTCCATTCTAAGCAACTAAAACTGAGCCTATACAATCTTCTATGGATCACTTAGACAATTTATAACTTTTCACTTTGGTTGAGAATTCTCCAAATAAAAATAATTTTAATTAAGTTTAAGCTGCCATTCGTAAAGGTCGTAATCAATAATTAAGTAAAGAACCATAAAAACCTAAAGGTGATAACACTCCTTAATTAAGTAAGTGTTGTTCTATAATAAAAGAATCTTAAAATCAAGACTCTCCAGATAAAATTGCAAGAAAATATTCATAACCTAATTATATGGAGATCAATGCTCTGAGATAGTTAATTAAAAAACCATGGTAAATATATACATTAATTTATAAAGTCCTTTAAATTAGAGAAATGAACCTTAGAGTTTTAGAAGTATTAGTTAAGAGCCTTCAAGAATCCCTAAAAAATGCTGATTTATAAAAGATTTATTTTTAATATTTACATTAATGAATTCTACAAAATCAGAAATTCTTTTTGCAGGGTTCAATTAAGATTCAAGTAAACTATTATAAAATAATATAGCCATGTTTTGTGTTGGTACTGATACAGGATTTCGAGTTTGTAATGCATTAAATTCAACTGAAAAATTTTAAAGAGACTTGAAAGGAGGTATTGGTCATGTAGAAATGCTATACAGAAGCAATATTTTGGCATTAGTTGGAGGTGGTTTATAGCCAAAATATCCTGATAATAAAGTGATCATATGGGATGATCGTAAATATACAATTTCTATTTAGATCTTGTAAAATGTATTGGAGAAATGAGTTTCAGAACTAAGATAAAAAATGTTAAGCTAAAAAATGATAGAGTAGTTGTTGTTCTTGAAAAAAAAATATTTGTTTACAATTTTACAGACTTGAAACTACTTGATTAAATTGAAACATGTCCTAATCCAAGGGGTATATTTATAATATTAGAATAAGGAATTTGTACTATTAATACAGAAGGAGATCATACAATCTTGGCAACATTAGAGAAATCTGTAGGAAAGGTTTTTGTAAACAATTATGACGCTAACAAAGCTTATTGTATAGAAGCACATGTTTCTCCAATTTCTTATCTTTAATTGAATTCAACAGGGACAAAATTGGCTACATCTAGTGAAAAAGGCACTGTAATTCGTATCTATGATACAAATACTGGGTATGTGAATACATTTAAAATAGATAAATTTCATAAGAACTTCGAAGAGGGAATGATTATGCAACAATAACTAGTTTAGCATTTGATTTTAGATCATAATGGTTAGGTTGTGCTTCTGATTAAGGAACTATACATATTTTTGCAGTCAATTAAGAAGGATTATAACAAGAATAGTAAATTTAGAATTAGGTTTCCCACAATCCAAAGAGTAAATTTGAATTTCTAAAGGGAATCATTCCTATATTGGGATCTGAATGGAGTTTTGCTCAGTTTAGAGTGCTTGATACAAAGTGCAAAGTGTCATTTGTGCCAGATGAACATCAATTGATCGTAATTTCATATGAGGGAAAGTACTATAAGGCATAATTTGATCCTTAAAAAGGAGGTGAATGCATAAAAGTGGAAGAGAAATACTTGATTAGTGATAAAGTTTGATTTAATATGTTAAATAACTCATAAACAAATTAAATTCTAATATCAAAAATATTTGTAGCTTAATGTCTTCAGGATTATGAATAAGCTACAGCTCTTTTGGAATAGTTAACAGGAAATTTAGTTGAAAATTTGAATATGTTCAATAAACATCCAAAAATCCATAAAATACTATAAGACAACTTCGAAATATTCCCTGAAAATTATTTAGTATAACCACAATAAATGGATGAAGGTATTGAACAATATCATAAATATTTGGAGTAAATTTGTAATTAGACAAGTAAGGAAGGTAAATGATAGAATAATGTTTTAGAGAAGAAAACCAAGAACAAGAATCCTTGGACAGAAGAAGAAAGGAGATTATTTAAATAAGCAATAAAAGAAGGATCATCAAAAGATTGGAAAGCTATGGCAGCAATCATAAAAACAAGATCCCCTCCATAAGTTCGTTCTTACTATTAAAAGTATATGAAAAAGAAAAGATAAAAATTAAAGACAGAAAACAAAAGTTAATGAATAAATAATATATATATATAATAATTAATATATATATATATATATATCAATAGAATATATAGATAATTAAATAGAAAACCAATGCAATCTAATAGCATGAATGACAACCAACACTATCCCATTTACATTCAGTGTTTTCTACGGCATAGCTGAAACTGAGACATTAAGTTGCATATGTAGCCTTATCACATGTTTATTGATGACAAGAATTGAGATTTTGACTCCAAAAACACCTTGGGTGATTTTAACATTGTAATTTTACACCAAAATCACTACAAACAAATTCAACGCATCCTGAATGAGAAGGATAACATTGTTTTTAACTTAATTTATTAAAACTTGGACATTCTTGTATACTATAATCGCTGCACGTTTTGGTCTTACATTCATCATCTTCCCATTTACAATATAATTTATTGCAAGATTTGTTATATGTTATATCTTCGCATTTTTCTAAAGCAATACAAGAGTCTCCGTTTTCTCCATTTAAAACGCATTCACTCTTTTATGTACCAACAACTTAAATAGCTCCAATACAAAATTGAACATCATAATCTTAGCACATTCTCTGATCAGCATCTGAAACACAAATTTTCTACTAATAATCCCACCGGCAATCAATTTCTTAACAATTTTCTTCGTTAGAATCAACCTTTTCATTTTCTTACAATTCCTCACATCCTGACAATTCTTAACAAAATCCAATCGTTATGTCCCAATAACATCTTAATTTTCCAGCGAAATATGAACAATCCTCACTAGTTCTTTCAAGGCAATTTATTTCTTCACAAATACCAGATTTAGTTTCAAAATAGCATCCTCTTGCATCTCTACATAAGTCCTCAAAATATATCTCGTTGCATTAACATTTCTTTGCCATAGAGAGATGGAGAAAAGATAAGACACAAAATAATAATGCAATCATTTTTATTATTTAATCACCATACAATTATACTAACTTTAAATTTAAGTATCTCATCATTACATATTATTAGATATTATTAAAAATTATATATCTTTCATTTTTTGTATGATTTGAATTAAAAAAAAACTAAAAGTATTTATAAAAATCATCATAAAACTGAATTTGCTAGTAAATGTTATTTAATATTAAGTGCTATTTGCAACGATGTTAAGAATATGAACAAAATATGTATTTCAAATAATAATAATTTAGAAGGAATTATTAATAATTGCAATAATATCTATTATAAATAATTATCTAAATTGTTATTCTATAAATTATACAAGATTGTCTATTTATATTTTAAAGAATAGATTTTCTCTTAAATTTTTAATAAAGATAACTAGAATTAAACTCTGTTTTTGGGTGAATTTTTAATTGCAACTATAGATAAACAAAAAAATTTTTCTTTTTTTTAAATGAATTCAATAATCAAAGTTTAACAATCAATTGATTTATCAAATAAATGTATTTTCAAATAATGCAACAAGATTTAAAATATATTTTGAATACTTTTTAGAAAATTATCATGTAGGAATAAAATCATTGATAAGTTGAAATGAATAAATTTAAATTAAAAGAACCATTATTTAAATACATAATAACAATTACTTATATAAGGGAAGGTAAAAACTTTTAACTAAAATTATTCATAGAATTTCAATTATCATACTAAATATTTAATATAACTTGAAATAATTTATTAAATCTCTTTATTTAATTTTATATATTGCAATTTAATACAATATATAATGCTAAAAATCCTATAAGTGTTTAGTTAATAAATTTATAACATATTTATTATATATCAATAAGTACGAGCCCAAAATTTAAGACTAATAAAGATTTTGTCATTTTCTTTCATGTTAAAATCAGAAAAGTTCTTACCATCTGTTACCCTGACTCCTTTTATAAAACAACTAGCTGATGAAGAAGGTATTCCAATAATCTCAATATCTGATAGGCTATTGATGACTTCTAAGAAAGGTAAAATTTAAATTAATCTCAATCTATTATTAAAGTTAATTACTTAAATTGAAAATTTTTAAGTTAAGTTTTCATCTAATAGAAAATTAATATTTATCATATCTAATTTTTTAATACTAATCTAAGCCAACTACTCTGAATTATCAAGTAAATCATTTTTATAATATATATATTAATCGCTTATTGGAATATGATAATTATTTTCAATTTCTTTCTTCATATTTTAAATTGTCTCAAATTCTTGAGAATTTATGATTATAATTTTGCCTGATACGGTTTTTGCTAGAATTATGGGCCTAGATAATTTAATTGTTAATTAAAAGGGCTAGGTTTAAATTTTTACTAAATCCTAAATCTATTAATTTTATTAAAGGGGAGTATTATAAAATAATATTGAAGAAATCATCTAATAAGGAATATCGAAATGATATTGAATTTAATGTATGATATTTTCAAAAGTAAATTTTGGATTTAATTTTATAAAGGGAGGTTTTTCATCAATGCTAAAAAGATTGATTTTAGTTTTTTTGATGTCCAATAACATATTTGCTACATTGTCAACTAATTTTATATTTTCTATTTTTTCATAATCCTAAAGCACTCTCCCAAAATATATGATTTTTTATTCAGAAGGATTAATACCCTCCTGTTGTTGGATATATTACTTAATTGTTAAAATTGTTTCATAGGGCTATAAATTTAATTAAAACTTTTAATATTAATTATCCCTTAACAATATTTTTATTTTATTATTTTTAATAATTAAAGTTTCTTTTGACCAAATATTATTCTCAAAAAAGGTTGTATTTAAATTTGCTATTTCTTTTTCATTCACATAAATTTAATCATTCGCATTTCCAAACTTCAACTTTAAGTCTTAAATTTTTTAATGAATAGGAATAGTAATAGTATTTTATTACTTCTGAACTATTATATTAAGTTAAATATGAATAGAATTTTCCTCTTTAAATTTTTTTAATTTATTCAAGATTTCCATTTAAGCAGAATCTAAATTATTTTTGAAATCTTCTATTATTTTTTTATTATAATCGAAATCGTGAATCAAAATATTTGAAAACATTTTTAATTCACTATAAGACAAAGGTCTTTGGCCTTATGATATTAATTTTTCAATTTCCGTTTGAATTTTCATTAAATTAAGTAGGTTTTCATCTAGTATGATCTTGCATTGTTTATATTATTCATTCATTGATTTTAAGATTGTTTACTATATTTTATTAATCTCAATTATTTTATCCCTTTATTATTCTACCTTTCTATAAAAATCTTCAAAAGTTATTAATCCATTTTCTTATAAATCATTTTAATCAATACAAGATAATAAACATTGACAACAAATTTTTCTTTATGGAAATATTATAGGGTTTAGAGATATCATTTAGATAGGATATTATGGATGATAAGTACAAAAGTCTTCATATTGTAGCATATTAATTAGCAATTTTCTATTAATAAATAAAATAAATATACAATTTAATATAATTATATGGATTTTTAATATTTTACTAATTATAGAATCATTATGATTAAAAATAAAAAATAAATCGTCTTTTAGAATATAATAGACAATCATTTGATTAATAATTATATAAATAATGAAATATAAATAAAATCTAAAGTTTAGAATCTCAATAATATCTAAATTTAAAATATACATCCTTAATTTTATTGATAACATTCTTAAAATTCATTCTGAAATGAATTATATAGGCTTGTCTAAATTAATAAATGTATTATAAATGATTGAAATCTTAAAAATGTCAGTAATATAAATAATACTTAAAAAATATTTTTATCAACTGAACAATGCAAACATATAAGTTGTTATATAGTAATTTAAACAATAATGAAATAATCATAAGTAAACAAATTTCTCGCAAATATGACAAATAGACAATATCTATAGAGTGTAGCATCTCCTACTACAACTGCCCCTAGCAAACACAAAAAGAATGGCAGCTCAACTATCATAACAGGAAATAAATATTTGGTATATGCTAAACATTCTTCCAGACTATTCAAAGATTCTTCTTCTAAACTTCCACTCTTGACAACAGTTATGAAAACAGAATCTTAAGATATTCCTAAAACAGCAATTGTAAGAACACGTAAAACAAGTGCAAATTTAGGAGACTTTCGCATTACATAATTACATCATAGAAATAAAACTGAGACTATTCTAGTTTAAAATAACTTTAATATTTCTAAATAAGAGGAACTTAAAGATAATTTTGAGGAAATACAAAAAGATGTATAACCTCAAATACCTTAAGTTTAGAAATAAATTGAATAAATATAATAATAACCTCTTACTACATCTCTTATAAGTGAATCAATTAAATTTTAGCCAAAAGTACATTTAGCAGAGGTTTTAGGTGAATAATATCATTTTACATAAATTAACTATAATAGCTCTAAAATTACTAAAATTGATATTAAATAATAGATTAATGAAATTGAATCATTAAATGAAAAGAGTTGTCATTTAATGAGAAAACTTGCATAATTATTAAATACACATAGAGAAAAATAAACTTTAGTTGATCTTGAAATAAAAAAAAAAAAAGAATTTCTTAATTTAACAGATCGTGTATTTACTTAAACATTAAGTAATATGCCTGATGAAAGAACTCCAAAAATTAATGAATCTAAATTTAATTAAAAATTAAGTACTATTGCAAAGAAACAATCAAAAATTAATTATAATTATAGTGTTTAAGAAACTGAATCTCTTACTCCTTTAAAAACTATTGTAGAAGCTTTAAAAGATAAAAAGAATGATAGGAAAGATAATAAAGATAAAAGTAAGATTGAACTTTAATAGATAACTCAATAAATTTCAAATAAAAAACTAAAAATTACAGTTATATATGAAGAAAATGAATAATAAATAGAATTTTAATTACCTAGTTATATAAATGAAATTTAGCCATACCAAGAATAAATTGAAATTAAAGAAACTAAATAATCTAATATTTATTCTTTAGTTTCAAAATAAATGCTTCAAAAGTAAACGATGTCCCAATATTTTCTAGCAAATTTGCTTTGAGATTAGTCAAAAAATTTGGAGATAGAGTCATTTAAACTTAAGAAGATAATGATGCTATTGAAAATTTCAATTCTTTTAAAGCATGTTAATTTACAAGATATTATTTATAAAATCACGTTTAAAAATGTTTAGAAACTAAATATGAAACAAGAGTTGATAATGATAATATTTAAAATAATAAAAATGAAATATTTGACTATCCTGTTTGTTAAGATACTTATTATGAAATGCTCAGTAAAAGTACTGGATAAGTTGGAGTAGATCAGTATAATATTTATATCAATGTAAATATATCTTCAATATAAGAAAAGCAAAACTAAAAAACTATATGAAATTCATAATATCTTTTATTAAGTTTCTTAAAGATATTTTGAAATCCATTAAGTTGATAATAGTATATTAAGTCCTTCTGGTTCATAATTAGATTTAAGTGATATTGAAATGCAAAATTACTTTAAAATTAATTACATTTATTATGCTTTAAATTTAGTTTCAATAAATGATTTAAAATAAGCTGAATTAAGAGTAATTGTCAATACTATAGATGATGAAACCAAAAATAAGTTCCTACATGAAGAATTAATGAAATTTCCAGAAATTACAAATACTATAATTCAAAATTAAGATAATCTTGATATCCAATGTATCAATGTTTTTTATAAAGAGAGTTATAATTGATCAATCAATTAGAAATCCAATTGGCTTCAAGAGATTAAACCATAATCAAAAATTAATTTTCAAATAAGTTTAGTTTTATTTAGGTTGGTTTATTTGAAGATTATTTTAGTCATTAAATTAATGCCCTAGAAAAAATATATATCGAATATTGTAAAACTATGAGAGATCTTGATAAATTCAATACTAAAGATAGAATCAAAACTGAACAACCTTCTAATCTAAATATACCTTCTATGTCTAGAAGCAGACTCCAATCTCCAACAGGCTCTGTATTTATATTAAATTATAAGAAGAGTGAATCCAAAACCTTATAGAAAGAGTTAAATCCAATGATAACTAAAGGATTATTTTTAAAGAAACACTAAAGACAAAAGAAATTGTTGACCAATCAAAAATTTACTACTTCCACAAAACTCATACAAGGAAGTACCAGTAATTTATAAACTTTATTACATGCCAATACTAATACAAATACTATTTTTAATCAATAAAAAACTTAAAAATTTTAAACTATATAAAAAGATACTGAACCTTAAGTGAATAATGAATCCTAAAGATAAATTTAAATGAAATAACATTTTAATTCATAATCATCTATGGATCCTTCTTCCTTGTTATTTCGAAATATGTTATTATAAGAAAGCTCTTAGAATGATAAATCAAATATTGAAAGAGTCTTCTCCTTAATTGAAGATCATAGATTAATAGATTTAAAAGATTTACTCCATCATGATCAAAATATTAATATTAATACTCAAGATTAAAATGGCAATACATTTTTAATATGGGCAGCTAGAACTGGAGCAAGAGATGTTATATAATTTTTACTCCGTCAAGGAGCAGATATTTCAATAAAGAATGTAATAATAGTATATAATTAAAATAGAATTCTGGAATAAATGCTATATAAATGGCTATAGATCACTATTAATATCAAGCAGCAGATGAAATTAATAGATTTGGTAGATCAAATTCTTACATAGCAAATTGATAAAATTTAATTTAAATATATTACTTAAAATACATTCAAAAATTAAGATTCCATTATTTCCTTTAAAATCTAACTGTTTAATAATCTTTAAAAATGTTTATACATTCTTTTCTATTTTATTTAAATAATATAAATAATATATTAAATTATTTAAAAGAGTGCATTGATTAAAATATGAATATTTAATTAAGATTCAGTTAAATAATTATATTAGATTCATTAGAACTAGTAAAAATATATATATATATTTATATAATACAATTAAATCAACTATACAATAAATAACAGGTTCGTGTTTACTGATTATATATAAATATTCTTATACTTATATATAATTTATTTATAATTATTAAAGCAGACCAGATTTAGTAAAGATTTAACAGAAAATTCGTATAAAATATATGATATTGAAATCATATTATCATATTTATTTTTAAATACATACATAATCAATAAAATCTTATTAATCTGAAGGTTAAGAATCAATCTATTAAATTCTTATTGAATTTTTCACCTTCTTTTATTGAGGTATCACTAAAGATTAATTTAATCTAAGTGATTAATTACATATTTTATTGAAATTTTCAGTCTTTTGCTATCTGATTTATACCTATTTTTTTGGTTTTAATTACTTAATTCTTGGAGTGAGATTAACTTACTTTAATACTAAAAGTCGAGAGCTTTCCAAAAAAGATGGAGATTTACTTGCAGGTGTTACTGGTAAAGTTGACATATGTTTTGAAGTCAAAAATTCTAATTTTTTATTTTAGTTTTATGAAGATGTTTTTTATTTCTAAGCATTTCTTGATCCTACAATATTAAAGTAAGGCTATCTATTTGGAAGCTCAAATAAATGCATTCCAATAATAATTTTCTATTTTTTTTAGATTTCACAATATGTGATTGTCGGTTTAAACATAAAATAAATACATATTATGTATTAATATCAAATAAGATAATTTCAATATATACTCTATTCTCCAAGCTTTAAAATTCATTTTAGGAAAACTTTAATTCTTTAAGTTAATTAAAAAACAATAATATGTTATCTAACATATATTTTTTATTTCTTTAATCAATATAGATTTTAATAGATAATTTAATTTTTTCCTTTATCAGCTTTAATTAATTTATTAGAATTTCACTGAAAGATTAATAAAGGAATTCTCCTATAATTAATATGATTTATAAATTTCTTTATGCAGATTAATAAGTATTAATTTATTCAAATTTATAAAGTATTTAAACATGCAAAATAATCACTTTATAAATATTTAAAGTTTGTAATAATCTACATTATTTAATTTTAATATGACCTCTAGAGTATAAATTGAATTATTAACAACTAAGATGATTTATATATAAGTAAAATAGATTATTATAAAAGTAAAAGAATCATATTTTATAAATTAAGTCTCCTTGTTTTTAGTTTTTAAAAAGTTTAATTTTGAATATAAATCCAATTATTTATTCTTTAAACCTTAATGCAATAATGAATACTATACTGAATTTTAATTTAGCAGTTACACTTAATAATAGATATCATAAGTTTAAGATATATTTGAGCACTTAAACAAAATTTAATTGTAATATTATGAATTAAAAAAGTACTTATTTTTAAGTAAAGATTCATCAAAATTTATCAGTTTGATATTACTTAAGGCTCTTATATACCTCACCTTTATAAATTAAACTATAAAGTAATTAAATAATTCTAAATATTTCAAATACAAAACTTTAAGTCCTTTTTAAAATTTAATTATATTCTAACTCATAGGAATTTAATAAAAGGAAAATATATAATCTTTAAGTTATTGTTTTAATTTGTAATCAATTAAATATTATAGAAATATTTTGAATTCAAATATTATCTATAATATATAACTATTGAATATTGATTCTGCATAAATAAAAATAAATATTATAAGTATATATTATGTAAATCTTTGAAAATACTTTGATAAATAAATGAATTTTTATTTAAGAATTTAATTTTACTTAGAAAATGAAAATAAACATAAAATAGGTAATGAATTTATTTATATTTTATAATTAATTTATAGATGCACTTGAATATTCTAGGCTCTAGAAAACCTAGTTAGGTAAGTAGTCCAACCTCATTAAAGAAGCCTGTGATATCTTAACTTCTCATTAATTTCAGGCAGCCTATCAATGTTCCTAATAGTTCATAGGTATCACCACAGAATTCTGAGCAAAATCTTCAAAAAGCATTACATTCTCATAAAGGATCTTAGATTGATGTTGCAAATTTAACAAAATTGATTAGATAAAGCAAATCACCAAATTTAGAAATGAATGATGCATAAAATAATTAGAATCAAAGTTCATAATAATTATAGGCATTATTTGCAAAAGCAAGAGAAATTACTTAAAGTAAATCAAAACCACCAATAATTAAGTAATAAGTCCAATCAATTTAAACACAATCTATTAATTAATTAAAAGAACTATTTAATGATAATTTGTATTGTAGAAACACATTTCATTTTCATTTTGTGGTTGGTATAGGAGGATTTGGTAAAGTATGGAAAGTTGAGCATAAGAAAACTGGACAAGTATATGCAATGAAAGAAATGTCAAAAGCATTGTAAGAATATTAGTAATAGTAGAATTATAACAAAAAAGAGTGTTAATTCAGTTATGAATGAAAGAATACTTTTGAGTGAATTAAAACATCCTTTCTTAGTTAATATGAATTACGCTTATTAAGATAGAGAAACACTTTATTTAATTATGGATTATATGTCTGGAGGTGACTTAAGATATCATATAGGAAGAATGAGAAGGTTTAATGAAGAGTAGACTAGTAAATTCAAAACTATTATATTGAGGGTTCTTTGTGGCTTGTATATTCTTGAGTCTCGAATATGTGCATGAAAATAAAATAATTCATAGAGATATTAAACCAGAAAATTTAGTATTAGACAATAAAGGATATGTTCATTTGACTGATTTTGGTATTGCAAGAATTATGAAACCCGAGAATTCTAGTGATACAAGTGGTACACCAGGATATATGGGTATATATTATAATAAATATTTAGCTCCGGAAGTGATGTACAGATAAAATCATACATATGCTGTTGATTTTTATGCTTTAGGAGTCATTGCTTATGAATTTATGTTAGGAAGAGTACTTATTCATATAAATTTTAGAGACCATATGTTGGAAGATCTAGATAGGAAATTAGAGATCAAATTATGGCTAAATAGGTTTAAATAAAGAAATCTGAATTACCAGAAAATTGGTCATTAGAAGGTGCTGATTTTATAAATAGAGTAAAAGATAATTTAATTTAAATAGCTACTTTAAAGAAAACCTCAATAAAGATTAGGTTTTAATGGTAGTTAAGAAATAAAATAACATCCATGGTTTTAAAACTTTCCTTGGTAAAAATTATAAAATTTCGAATTAATTCCTCCCTTCCAACCAAATGTATTCTTTTTATAATATATATTAATTAGAGAACTGAAGATAATTTTGATTAAAAATAAATATTAATTGAAGATGAAGAGAATAATGAATTGATTTAATAGAATCTTTTAGTTTTAAAAGATCCTGCTTCTTTAGGTATTAATAATTAAATCATTAAGAATTATTTTAGGGTTATGAATTTAATGCTAATCAGAGTATTAATAAAAATTCATCAACAACTGATTAATCATCAAGTTCATCATCTAAGCATAGTAGAAATTTCAGTTAAAATATTGAAAAATAATAATTCTTTGAATATGCTCATAAATGATTTAAATAATCCTATTCATCTAGTATATTATAATTATTTATAATTTTTATATAATATTTAATAATCATCATTGGTTAATCAGATTTAAACAGTTTTAGAATTTTCCTAGAAAAATTTATTTAATCTATTTTCCCTTAAGAAACAACATAAAAATAAATTTTCAATGAAATTTTCTAGAAAAATGGAAACAGATTAAAAGGATAACTTAAAAAATCAAAAAATAGTCAGAAGCAACAATAATATTGGTAAATAAAAAAAGGAGTAATTAATAAAACTAGTAATGCTTCTAATAGATTTACATAAAGATCTAGATCATTTAGAAGAAGTCCCTTCTTAATAATTAGATTAACGTTCAAAATAAAACCTAGAATAGAAGGAAAATCTCTCTAACTTTAAAACTAAATCTAAATCAAATTCGAAAAAAGGATTAAGATGATAGTAAACTTGAATTAGATTACTTATTTCTATCTTATAATTTAGTAGATTCATATAATAATCCTCTTCTAGAAGGCAATTATAAATAATGAATATATTTAATTGCTTTTCAGTAAGAAAGTTGTTTATAATTCTTTCCTTTTTTCATATTTGAATTTTTTTAAGAAACTACTTACAAAAAAAAAAGAAACAAGCTATTTTTTAATAAGTTAATGAATTCCTATGTTTGAGAAATACACACTTCTTTTATATTATGACATTCAAATTTTAAAATTTTCATTTTCTAAAATTCTCAATATTTACTTAATAGTTTAGGCTTTTCTAATTGTATATTTTTGAAGAATTACAGTACAGAAAGGTTGTATTAGTCTTCATCAGATAATTTATTAATGAGAATCAATTTAATCATTAGGTTATCTTATTTTATAACAGTCTTTTTAACCTAGATTAACAATATATATTTTGAGTTGAATTAATAAAGTATAATAATGTATGTTATAATTGGTAATTAAGTATTTAAAACCTTATTCATCTTAAAATAGTAAAGAATTAATTATGACAGAAGAGGTTTATTTGATAAAGATTATATCAAGATTGATATTTTATAATAATCCTATTAATGAATAAAAATGTTAATTAAAGAGGATTTAAAATCACCTGATTCTTAATCAAATATAATATCGTCTAAAGAATAGTATTTATAAGCTATTGATGCACTAATTCTTAATTTGAAGGGAAAATTGAGCAAAATTTAGTAATTTAGATAACCCTAAACAAAGAATGAATAAATAATTGAAATTAAATAATATTTTAGTGAGAAACTTTAATTTTACTAACAAAAAAATAACAATAATAACAATGATATTCTAAATAGTGATATTCTAAAAGAATCTATTACATTAAAAAAAAATAAAAAAATAATAACATCATCAAAAACAGTTTATATATGTGCTTGTCATAATCTAGTCTATCCTTCACCTTAAGCATTGGGAGGACATTTGAAAAGTGTGAAAAATAAAATGATTTAATAAAAAAAAATAAAATGAATTCAAATTTAATTTTTTAATAATACAATTATTACATAAAATGTAATAGAACTTGTTATGGCAGGCTGTTAGTTGAAATAGATATTAAAAATTTATAAAATTTTTGTTTAAATCACTCAATCCTATCTAGATTTTAAGGTATTTTATTTCTATATTTTGACAATTCAATATATGTCCAAATTATTCTTAAATCTTCAGGCTCTAAATATTTAAGTTCTTAATCTTCATATGCCATAATTCTTTTAAATTCATCACTTACAGCATCAAAATTAAATTAATGATACATTAATAGATTTTCTAATAAATCATCATGATCAATTGTCCAACCTTCTCTCTTTTATTTATATTCTCTTAATTATTATGCTTTAGTATCAACTTTTGGTATTTAAGGACCAGAATCTAAATTAATAATAAATTTTGATTATTTATTTGATTATAAACATTCTTCTTGTTCTTCTTATTGTTCATATTTTTAATTATTTAATTAATTTTCAACATTATTATTATCACATTTTTGATTTATTTATTACATTTCTTAATTGAAATATCTGTCCCTAATTTATTTGGCTTCCTTTTTTCATATTAATATTTTTACGTCTTCAGTTTTATTTAAAATGACAGTATTTCCTTCATCATCCTTTGTGGTTAAAAAACATTGATGAGGAAGTATAGTGTCAACTTAATATTTATCTAATTCAAATTCTACATTTTTTAATTCATTTTCTTTTTATTCAATCAAATCATCAACTTCTTCTCCATCAAAATACTAAATCTATAATTATCTTATTTCTTTGCATAATATTTATTATTTATTTAATAATTAATTTCTTATTTCACCTTTCTATTATCTTTCTAAAGTCTATAAATATATCTAATGATCTTATTCTCTCTTAATTTCAATTTAAGATACTCTTTCTTATTATTCAGCATCTTTTCCTCCAATAAACCAAGCCTCACTAATTTTACGTTCACCAGGTGTTACTGGTTTATCATCTAAAAATTATAATGCTTTTATTGCAACAATAATAGTTTTTCTATAATTTGGACATTCTCTCACTTAATTTTATTAAAATAAAAATATACCAAAAGTATTTGCTTTTAAATATAAACATCCAATATATGTCTATTGAAATATTGTAATAATAGATTCTTCATAATTAATATGATTATTTGAAAGATCTAAATTTTATATTGATGGACAATCTTAAATTTCTAATAATGATTAATAATTAGTCAATAAATTATGAGATAAATTAAGATTTTAGAGTTTGGTTAAAGAGGATATATTTTCTATTTTCTTTATTGAATTATGACTTAAATTTAAAGTAACTAAATCTTATAATGCAGAAATATTTTCTATTTTATCAATCAAATTATGATTTAAGAATAAGCTAATTAATTTCTTAAGTTAACATAATCCTTCAATCTTTTATAAGGCATTATTATTTAACCATAAGGCAACAAGATTAAAATATGGTTCAAGATTTTCAATCTTGTCAAATCCTAAATATTGTAAAACATATATTTACCTTTAAAATGCAAATATAATGTATCATTGTTTTCTGGATTTTAATATAATCCTTCTCTTTCACATATAATTTTCAAATTCTTTAGATTCATAATTACAGTTCCATTTTAATTTCTCTCAAGAGTTTTATTCATATATTAATATAATATAAATATATCATAATTTTTATAATTTCACAAGTTCTTTGACATAATCATTAGGTCTTAATAAGAATGTGCTTCCAATAATTAAATTTTTATTAATAACTTTGTTATTCATCAAACTTCTAACTTCATTATATCCAACACCTCCAACAATAAAAACAAGCTAATATTAAATAATTAAATATATACTAATTTATCTTATTCATCAAATCCTACATCATCTTACATCAATTTAATTTATCCCTTCTATCTAAGAGATTTACCTTGACCTTAAACATTTTATTATTCATTTAAGACTATTTTTTCAAAATTTCCTGATGTCTAAAAATCCTTAAGTATTAAATCTTCTAATTATTATTCAATAATAGGAGTATTTCTACATAATTCTAATGTTTCATTAGCCATTTTATTTTTGGCATATTTTCTGACTTATTCATTAACTCTTTTATGAGACTATTAAATTATTATTATAAATATATACTTTGCTACCACTATGTTAAGTTTAAATTCCTAATAATTTTAAATTATGAACAGCATTTTACATTTCAATAGATAGAATATCTGTCAATTATCTTCTATCTTTTTCACTTAAATCAATTTAGATTATGGCTGATAATATAAGACGTGCTTAATCAAATTCATTTAATTTTTGATTTTTTAATACTTAAATAATCTATAAAATCATAATAAAATAATTTACTCTTTAAATTATCTTCTCTCCTGCTACTGATGATCCTTTTTTATCACATCCTGTTGCTAAAGTTTATTCTAATTCTCCAACTTCTTATAAATCCTTTTATCTATATAATTCTAAACATTTTTCTACAATTTCCATATGCATAGTATATTTTGCTACTAATTCTTAATATTAAGGCATTGTTTTAACAATATCTGTCATTTATTTTAATGATAAATTTTATTCTTTATCTTTAGCAACTTTAGCTGCTGTATTTGTTTACATAAATGTTTAAAAATCACTACTAACTTCTTCTAATACATCAGCAATATGTTTGAATTTATATTTCTTGAATAAATCATCTTAATCATTTAAAATTTATTTCTTAGTTACTTTCTTATCTCCATATTACATATCATATTAATATATATCATTTTCTATTTCCAATAAATCATAAAACATTGGTTAATAATAAAAATCATGTAATAATGGTGATAATACATCTATTGCTCTATCTATAATTACTATTCTTATTTTTCCACATGTTTTTTCTTTATGATCATATTATGAACTATTTGTTCTTTTTAAAGCTTCTAATATTTCTCTTAATCTTCCTTATGTGAATTATGCTAATTATTAACATATCTTCCAATTATCTTATCTAAAAATTAACTCAAAAGTATAAAATTTCTCAAATGACACCAAAACTGTACTTATTTTTTCAGCCATCTCTTACAAAATAACATTTCCTTATTTTAATTTAATACATACTTCCTTTATATACTTCTAATCCAAATATCATATCAAATGTGAATAATTATTCATTAGTACAATTAAAGTCTAAATTAAAAACTTTACAAGTAGATAATTTCTTAACTAAATTCTATTCAGATTGTATCTTTTAAGCTATTCCTTATGGCATTTTATTATTGAAAATCACATGTGCACATTTATATTATGGAAATTAAGCATTTGCAAAATCCTCAATTAATAAAGCAATGGATTCTTAAGTTGGTGTGATAAAATAAATTGCTTCCAAATTAAAAGGTTTTCTTTTCAAATTTAGATTTTCTACTGCATTAATTCCTTATTCTAATAATCTTATATTAATTTTAATTTATACTCAGACATCTTCATGTAAGCAGAAACTATTTTTAAAGTTTTCTAATCTACAACAAGAATGGAAGATGATAAATTAGGATTATCAATTCTTAATTGTACAAACAAACTTTTCACTCTTTGTCTACAAACTTATTTTAAAGAAAATTGAGCTTATTCCATTATAACTTTTATTTTTATTATTATAAAATTTAATAATCTATATTACTATTATTATATTTCCATCCTTTTAAATTCTAAATTTCTGTGTTTTTCTTTTATTTTTTTATAATACTAATCAATTTAACAAATTATGATCTTTTTGGATAAAGAATTAAAAATTATCATATTTCAATCAATTAATTGTTTACTAAAAATATACTAAAATAAAAATATATGTATGTATGGTGAATAATTAAGATATAAATGGTAATAATTTATAAATTTTACTAATTTTTTGATTATAATTAGTTTGTAGAAATAAATCTAAAAGAACTATTAAAACAATATAAATCTTTGAATATTTATGAGAAATAAATGCTAAGATTATAATCTTATGTAATTCTAAATACTATTAAGTATTATATGATCTTAAGTCTATTGTACAACTCAATATCGAAAATGATATAATATAAATAATTGTAATTTTAAATTGAAGTTTATATAGAAATGGATAAATGAAAATATCAAAAATAAAAAAAAGTATAAATTTATGAGATTAATTTTTGATGCTAATTATACTGATATATGTCATTCAAATTTTTAGTACTCTTTCTTTTGTAAAGTATTTATTTATTAATTAAATGTTGATATATGTAATATATCTAGGTGAATTAAATGGTAATTACTAAAATTTTCCAATATTTTAATTTTGCTTTTAATAAAAGAATATGGAAACAAGAGTTAAATAAAAAAACTGCTTTGTTATCAAAACTCATCTTACTTAATAATTATTGACCAGCCGGTTACCAAATTTGCAAAGCTAAAGATATTTAACTAAATTAAACTTATATAGAGATCATAAGTAAGGTCACATAAAATTATTATCGCTAAATGATATGAAATCAAACTAAGAAATGTAAATAAATATCATATTAATTTTTTAGACCTAAAAGAAGTCTTAGTTCTGAATCTACATTCGAAGGAAGCTTAAATAAGAGATGTTAATATATATTTTTAACTTTTACTCATTAAAAAACAAAATATTAAAGACAATAGTTTTGCTTAAAAATGTGGAGAAAATTAATCCTTTGTGTTTAAGCCATTCTTTTTATATTCAAAGTTTCATTAATTGAATATAAGATCATAAGTAGTTCTCCAACAAAGATGTCAATATGTCACTAATTGATACATCATCATCCATATCCTGAAAGTCCATCAAACAGAAAAAGAAAGAAGAGTTCTGGTTTAGAAACTAAAAATAGAAATTGTAGTTTTGGTGAAAGAATTCAAACTTTAATTCTTCTTTAAAAATTGAAATTTGATACTCAAAAAAATAATACTTATGTTAGACAATTGAAAAATTAAGATATAAGATTAACTCGCTTAATAAGTTAAAAAGCACTTAGTACTCATTCATTACATACAACAATTGATCATTCCAAATAATTACCTGCAATTAATAAGTTGGAATATATTGAAAGACCCTCTTTAATTTCATCTTATTCAAAAAAAATTTCTCTAAAATTAAAGAAAATATATTGAAAAAAATTACTAAAATATTTAATTGTACATTATTTTATTATAATATTTCAATAGCCTAACTTCTCTAATTCTGCATTGATGCTAGTAAGTTCTTTAGCTCCAATAGCCTTTCTTCTAAGATTTTCTCTTGCAATTTTTCTCTTATAATATGCTGTTCCTCTAATAAATTATATTTTTAATAATACCTTTATTTTCTCTTCTCTTCAAGTCTATTAACAACTGCTTATGAATTCCATCCGACTGAAGCGCATAAATCACCCAAAGTGCAAAAAGGTCTATGATTTTTGAGTCTGATCAATTTAAGGGCATCTGGAACAACTTATCTCTTTCTAGTGTCATAAGGAGGGGGGACACCTTCAAAGATCTTTAATCTTTCAAGGGCAGCTGCTCCTCTCTTTGACTTGTATTGAAGCATTCCTCTAACAACCTTCCAAAAGCATCTTGATGGTGTTCTATAGTGCTTGTATCCTCTTCTTGGATTGAAGGCCATTCTCTTATTTAAATATTCTTCAAAAATGACTCTGTTTCTAAAGAGAGATCCTTCAATTATTAAGATCGCTTACCTGATTGTTAAATCAACTCACTTCTGACTACAACAATTCTTTATCCTCTCTACAATTCTTTGGCAATATAAGAGGCTAATCTACCCAACAAATGGCCTTTTCCATCAATCACTATTTCCTTCTCAAACATTTAATTTTAAATAAATTTTCAAAATGATTTTTATATGATAAAATACTTAGCATTCACTAAACCTATTCTTTATTAGATATTCTAAACTCTAACTCTTATTGAATTAATATATTTAATAACATTAGCATCCTCATAAATCTATCTAAATTGCAATTTCTATTAATCACTCAAATAAATGACCTATTAAATTATTCTTTCATTTTTAATCAATCAAGGAAGAATATCACTCTATTTTTTTTCATCTAAAATTGTATCTAAAAGAATATTAGAAAAATATTTGTAAAATTAACAAGAATCGCAATGTTTTAATTGAATAATTCTTATAAAATTCTTTAAGATATGATTTTTTATAGGTTATTATTTATTTCTTTTTTTCAATTACTTGCATTTAAAATCATTTTTTAATGAATCACAAAGCATTTTGAAATCATCCAAATAATGAAAGGAATTAAAATATTCCAAAACCTGATATTTATATTTTCCTTAAAAAAAGATTGATATTTGGTAACTATTTGAAATCATTAATATATTAATTCTTAATAAATATGAATTTTATTAACAATTTTCTAAACTGAAGTTTTTAGATTATTTCATAGATGTTAAGCGTTTGAGATTTTCAAAAATTTTTTTTTTTTTTTCAATTACTTGATAAACCATCATATTATTCATTTCATTATTTAAAATATCTTTATTTAATTCTTGAATTACTTCTTTTTTCTATATATATCAATATTGTAATAAGTATGATTGTAATAATAAATATGTTAATTAATTCTATGATTGGTATATGAAATGGATATTAATATTGTGTTTCAGATATAGTTTCTTTTAAGAGTTTATGAATATATCATATAATTCAATAATAATAGAATATGTGTTAATATTGATCCTTTTTCTTAAATTGAATAAATTATAATTTAATAAATAATGAAAGCACCTAAATATATTGAATAGGATATAATTAAAAAAGTATGTTAGGCTGAATAATTCTAATAACATAAATTTAAAATAGTAAATACTAGATCTGATCCATATTTATCAAGAAGAGTATAAAAATTGAATACATTTTTAGCATGTTTTATAAGACAATGATAAATACTAATAAATACGTGCAAATAAATTCTATACAAAATTATAAGTTGATTTACAAAAGGAATAACGGTTATTTAAGGAAAATACTAAAATTCTTAATCGAATAGTAGATATTGGAAATTAAAAAACTTATTCATCTCTTCCCAAAAGATCATTAACTAGATAAAGTTCTGCCAATTCATTAAAGTCTCTTAATTTATCTTACAGAAAGAAAGAGGCTATGAAAATAGTTGGAGAAAATGAAAAATTGATGCACCGTTTATAGAGAACTCCTTCCACATTTAGAAATAAAGAAACTTTTCTTAAAGATTATAAAAAGTAAAGAATTAATTATAATTTTATAAGGACTGTGGAACTCAAGAATAGAATATCAAAATATTCATAATAAAATCAGTAAAAGTTGGGTAAAATTGTACAAAGATTAACTAAAACTACAAATAATCCTAAATTTACTAATTCAAGCTAAAATAAAAGTAGTGCACCTTCCTATAAAAATTCTGCATTATCTTAATTACGAATAGAACCAGAAAGATAATAATAGAAGTTTTAATTCCCAAGAATTAAATGATTAATAAAATATATATAATTGTTTCTATAATACCTTATCAACAGAATTATCTCTTGATTAGAGCTAAAATATATTCACCATCCTTTGGATCTGTAGTATTAATTTTTAAATCCAAAGATCCATTTTAATTGTAACAACCATATAATAATACACAACTCTTACTTTCTGCATTGGCACCAGCACAAATAATTTCTTATTCTATCACTTCAATAACCTAAAATAAATATTCAATATTACATTAATATTAATTGTTTATATCATCTTTTTAAAATCTTATTCTGATTTAATCTTACTTTGCAAAGTGACTTCTTTAATATTTTGATTTCTTTCCCATAATTATTCATATTAATCAACATTGATATTTGCTGGTATATATGATTTAATTTATTGTTATGGAAATGTCTATACTGGAGTAGATTGTGACCACTATTATTATGGTTGTAATTATTAAGGCACAACTGTTTTTTGAGTTATTATTTAAGGTTATTGAACATTTACTTAAGAAACACTTGAGACTGACTATTAAATTGGTAAAGAGTCATCAATTTCTAATAAATTATTAACTTATGCAGGTGGTTTTGATTAAGGTACTTAAGTTGGATTTGCATTCATAGGTTTTTATGTAGCCATTGCTGTAATACCTTTTTTTTAAGTTTATCTATTCTATAAATACATATAATTACTGAGGTTATTGTTAAGTTTAAGAGAAGGAAGGAAATAATTAATTTGCTAATTTCTACTTTTCTTTTAAGTTTGGATCTTCTTTTGGTGGTAGAGGTTTAACAGGTGGAATATAATTATTTTGAGTTTGATTAGTATTCACACCCATTTATCCACTACCCATAGATTACATAGTAGTTTTAGTTGTTGTTGTTTAATTACTTCCATTACTACTAATGCCAACTGTTGAACCTATAGCCATAGGAGCAGCAATTACTGGTTTAGCAACAGATGGTTATTTTTAATTATATCCTGTATCATCCCAAGGTCCTGCTATAGTTGGAACAGTTGAATTCTAATTTGTTGTTTTATTTTCTTCTACACCAAATGTACCAGTTTTGACACTTCCATATTTATTATCACTATAAGGTCCAAAATTAAGAGAAGGTGCTTCTGTTGCTGAACCTAAGGCAGCTGCTTTAACTTATAATGAAGGATTATAAGGTTAAGCCCCACGTAATCTTTCTTATTAAACATAAGCATCTAAGAATGACATTTTGGGATCTATAGTAATATATTGAGAACCTTTAAGGGCTGCATTAAATTTAGCAAGAGTAAAGAAATCAATTGCTCTTTATTAACAATCTAGATTTTTTGATTACATATATTTTTAAAAGATTGCTCTAGTTTAATCAAACATTTAAAATGCTCTTGCTGATTATAATTTAGCTAAACATGTTAATATCCATGATATGGTTGTTTCAGATTCTAATTGTGAATCTAATTTCATGATTACTAATTAAGTTAATTCATTTAATTTATTTGGATTTTAATCATATATTTATGAACCAATTTCACCAATAACCCAACAAACAATTTTCAATATATTATCTTACAAATCATTTTTTAATAAATCAGAATAGATATCAGTTATGAATTCACCAAATTCTGTTCCAATATCATTAAAATTATCTATTAATAATTTAAAGAAATTATTTCTGACATCATTATCTATAAATTCAGAACCAAATTCAAATAATGTATTAGCTGTCTTAATAAACCATTCTTAAGTAGGTGCATGTTTTTCATTTAATAAAGATATTTTAATAAATAAATCCTTTTTAAAATTAGAATCTGAACTTGTTTTAAGAAAATGAATCAATTTTTGAATAATTATTTCACAATTTTATTCATTTGTCATTTTAAATAGTAATTCTAAAGTTTCTTTTTTTAATGTATCATCATTAGATTCTAAACAATCAACAATTGTCATTTAATGTTCTAATACATATTTTTATGAAATTTAAACAATCTAAGTTAAAGCATTAATTCCTAAATATTTTAGATTATTGTTATCAGATTTTAAAAATCTAGATACTGAATTAGCTGCTTATTCAAGTAAACCTTATTAAGGATAAATTCCACTAATGCATTTAACACATTAATAAGTAACAGCATAACCTATATTAATTGTTGTATCATCAGCTCTTCTTAATGTTGATCCCAATACTTCATAAATTTATTCACTGACTTTTAAATCATTAGCTCCCAAAAGAGTAAGAATTTAAAGTAATTTAATTTATAACCAAGGACCAGGAAATCTATGATAATCATAATCCTATATTATATTTATATTAAAAATTTTACTTTATGTAGTTTATGTTCTATAATTTATTTTAACATTGAAACAAAAGTACCTGTTAATGGTTTATATTTATTAACAGCACCTTTCTTTAATTCTTCATGATACAAATTGAATGCTGCTCCCATAACACTTGGTTCTTTGTCTTATATACCTCTTCTGATTCTATCATCATAATCTTATTCTGTAATACAATCTTAATTCAATTATCTAATAATTTACATTACCATTAATGCCTAAAATCATATTATTATTCAATTTACTTTCTTTCTCACAATATCAGTATTATGAGTCAATAATTTTAATACAGGTTCTGTTAATGCATTAACAAAAGTCTTGCTTATCAATTTTCCTACAGCAGTAAGAGCATTTACTACAATATGAACATTAGTTGATGCAAGATCTTTTTGGAGTGTAGCAACCAATAAAATAAGTAGTTCACTATCATTATCCAAAAATAAGGAACAACACAAATAGCCTAATCTTTTTTGTGCTAAATTCTTAGATTGTGTTAGATGTATTGCATTGATATGTACAAAAGATGCATCATGACTTTATACTTCACTTTTACATTTTACCCCAACATTTCAATATAAATTGCTCTAATAAGCATTTCCTTCACTTTTTTTGATGGCATGTTCTTTTCATTAAGTTTAGTCTTTAATTATTGAACTTCTTTTATGATAATTTTGTCTTCCTCTTATTTACTACGAGTCTCTCCTATTGACTTTATTAGATCATGTAATTCTTTGCTTAAATGTGATCCCGATGACATCCCTAAAATTAATAATATAAATTTTTTTAAAATCTCAATTATTTCCTAATATCTAAATCATTTTTGTTTTTATTTTAGAGTTATTTAAAAGATTTATTGTAATTTAGAATATATGGATGAATATTAATAAGGAGAAAAACAATATAAAATTAAAAAATATTTAAAAAATAATGAACATAAATTATTATATAATGATTGCTATATTATCTCATTTTAAGGCAGCCAAGTATTCACTATGTTCTTAGAATGGTGTTGATTCTAATCTGGTATGTCCCCAAAGATCTGGGGTAAGGAAATTATATGTTTCTTTTAAGGCATGGAAGGTTGCTTTCAAGAAGTTTGATCTTGTTCTTGTACTTCCTTTGGATTAAGTGTAGCAATCTTGGATACCAGCCATTTGTAACACTTTCTTAGAAGTGATGGCTGCAACTATACCAGTACCTCTGGGTGCTGGAACTAATCTAACTCTGACTGATCCTTCCTTTCCTGTAACTTTGCATGGGACAGTGTGTGGTTAGGCAATCTTATTTCCCCAATATCCTTTTCTAACTGGAATCAAATTAAGTTTGGCATTAATGACTGCTCCTTTAATAGCTCCTTAAACTTCTTTAGCTGATTTCCATCCCAAACCAATATGTTAGTGATTATCTCCAACTACAACATAGGCCTTAAATCTTGTTCTTTATCCTGCACATGTTTGCTTTTAGACTGGACCAAGGGCAAGTGGTTCTTCTTTCAAATTCTTAAGGAAATGATCCACAATTTGATATTCTAAATTATGTTAATAATAAATTGATACCCTTAATTGGAATAGAGAATTAGAAAATAGTTTCAAGACTCTTAATTTTACCAGCCTTGACTAATCTTCCTAATTTAGTCAATGGGGTCCATTCTTATTCTCCACCAAATCTTCTGGGACCTCTATTTTATCTTGGAGCTCCTCCTTCTCTTCTTTCTCTTTATCCTCTTCCTCCTCTTCCGAATCCTTTCTTTTCAACTGGGGCTGCTTATTCTTATTCTGGAGCGGGTGGTGCTTATTATTACTCCTAATCTGCCATTAAAATAAAAATCTTAATTTAAAATTTTGTTTTCAAAGTTGTACATATACATAAAAAAGTGTATAAAATAATTAATAAAATGATTAGTTTTCTCTTAATTATTCTTCCATAAACATTTGGAAATTATTTTGAATAGAAGTTATCAAGACATGTTTATGAATATAAGGATGTTCAAAAAGATGATATAGTTACTAGCATCAAACCTTAAAAATGTCCAAATGAATTTTTAGATTATTATCATAATGATACTTTTGTGACTTAAATATGTTTTACAAAGAATGTATTTTATAATGTTGAAGTGATTTTAGGAGATCATATTACAAATTAAAGCATATTTTCATTAGCTGTATAGAAATCATAATAATATATTAGCTTGATTTAACATCTCCTTGGACATGGTATAAATCAAATTCATGTTTAAGTTGTAAAGATATTAAATCATTAAAATATGACAATAACAAAAAATGTAAAAATTCAAAGAAGATTGGAAAGTGTATTGATTCAAAATTTGAAAAATTATTTGATGCAACTAAATGGAATGATATTAAAGTTCATGGTTAAATTTACTCATCTGAATCTCTAATTTAAGGAACTTTTTAAACTGATACAATATAATTACTTGCATACAATTCTTCAAAAAAAATGACTATTTCATAATTCCTCTCTTATGAATGGGGAAATAGCACACCACCAGCATTAGTTAATATAACAGGATTATAGATGCTCTAAGTAGATTACATTAATACTGAATTACCAATTTTAGCAGATGGTGTTATTGGATTTGGATTTGGGTATACAGAAACAGAAGAAGAAAAGGCATAAAGTAATACAGATTTCGTTGAAAAATTAGTATAAGAATAAACTTAACTTCATTTAACAAGATAATAATTTGCTCTTTACACTTATGAAAGTTCTCTTAATTTTTCAGAGATGGTAGTATAAGTAGGAGGATTTGATTATAAATATGTCCATAAATAATAATAGAATGTCAAATGGATATAGAGACTTGAAAAATCTGGTTATTATTGGATGGTTTAAGTAGATAAAATTCAATTTATTGTAATTTATTTTTAATTTTATATAGAATGCTTAAGGAAATGATTTAATAAATGCAAATTTACCAATTAATAAAGCTTTACTCACTTTGAATTCATAATTTATTGAACTCCCCTATAACATTTTGATATCTTTAATTTAATCATTAGATAATGCACATGTAGGAACAGAATGCAATTTAGTAGATGATGAAGTATTTATAATATAATAATAAATTAGATGTATATATTATATTGCAAGAACTATCATTTCTCAACAGCTATTGATTATAGATTAGCATTTATATTTGGAGAACATACTATTCCTATAGATAATTATCATTTGATATATAGAAAGTGTGAAAGTGTGAGTGAAAATTAAATGATTTAAAATTGTCTTTTCAATATAAAAGTTTCAGAATCTGATTATATTATTTTGGGAGAACCTTTCATTAAAAATCATTATATTGTATTTGAGAATTAACCAGGTAATAATGTAAGAAGAATTGGTATTATGCCAGCTGCTGTACATATGTTTTATCCTGATAATCCAGATTATTATGAATGGGCTTTGTTAAAACTCGTAGGATTTATATTTATATTTGGGTTACTCAGCATTTGTTCTGTAACTTTTCTTAGAAGTTTATGTAAGGATCTTTATAGAGCATTTAAATATCGTAGGGTAATTATATATAAATTAAATAAAAAGACTTTGAATCCTGAAGATAAGTTATCTCTTAAAGAAACAAAAGATATAGAATATGTAGATTATTCAACTGAGGAGGATATTCAAGTTTAATAATAAATTGATAATCAAAATTAATAATAAAATAATGATGAGAAGAAAGTAGAAGAATGGAAATAATAATAAGAATAATTTAAATTTGGAGAGAAATTTAGTAATTTATATGAATAAAATGCATTGTGATTAAAATGACATACATATATAAAATGTTTACATAGTATTTTATGTTTGTGATCAAATTTTGGAATTGAAAGTTTCACCTTCTTCAGGATATGAAATACCATCAACTTTACCATTCTGTATATAAGGATTACATGGCGTATCATCTAATGGTTGAGGAAGGGGATTTATAATTTTTGTTGAGTTTTTTAAATTGCTCATTTCAGCAAATGTTTTAAGTGGAGATACTTATAAATGAATAACATCCCAACTAATTGAATTAAAGAATGGATGATTCTTTATTTCTTCATAACCTCCTTTAACTCCTAAACGTTCTTTTGGATCATTTTTAAGTAGTTTTTGAATTAAATCACATGCAGCTGAACTCATAGTTTTAGGATAGGTAGGATCATTAAGTAAAATTTATTTGGTGATCATTTCAACTCTTCTATTTGGATCATTGAATGGTGGATTACCATTAATCATCTCAAATATAAGAATTCCTATTAATTCTATAAATACTTAAATACCAAGAGTCCAAATATCAACTTCATAAGAATGACCTTATCTTGTAATAATTTCTGGGGCTAAATACTCAGGAGTGCCAGCTAAAAGATATGATTTTTCATCATCTTTTCTTAATGTTGCTAATCCAAAATCTGTCAATTTAATATGTCCTGTTTCAGTCAGTAATATATTTTCTGGTTTCAAATCTCTATAAATTACTTTTAATTTTGTATTTAAATATTCAAGTGCTAATACTACTTCTGCTGCAACAAATCTTACTACATTTTCTGGCAATCCATTTTTCTTACATTTCAGAACATTGTAAAATTATCCTCCATTTATACATTCCATTACAAAGTAAATGTATTTTGGATTTTGGAATGCAAATTTTAATTTTACAATGAATGGATGTTTACTTTATTTTAATACATTTCTTTCTAAAACAGTGTTTGTTTCTAAATTGCATTCTCTTATTTTTTAAATCTTTATTTATTTCATAGCATATATTTTATCAGTGTTCTTTTTTCTCACTTAAAAAACTATACCAAATGCACCCTAATTCAATTATTTATCATACTTATCCAAGTACTGCTATTCTGATAAAATCATCTTCACTAATCTATTATTTTAGCGGAGGTGGTGGAATAACTACTAAAGCAGGTTACTTAGATGCACTATTAGTTGCCAATTTGGCTATAATTAAATACCATAATTACTTTTATCATCACTTATTGAACTAATAAATGATGTTTTTAGATCATGATTAGGACAACAATTTCCCATAAATTATTATATTAATAAATCATAAAAAATTCATATTTATTTTATTTATCCATATATCCCAATTCTCCAAAAAATTATAGATAACAATCATTTAAACTAATAATATTTCTATTTATCTATTCATTTATTTCAATATATGTATAGAATGCTTTATTATATATATATATATAATATTACAAATATATATGAAATAAACTTTTTTTTTTTTTGGATTTATTAGACTCCAAAGATTTCCAATTATTTTAATTAAATAATGTATTTACCCACATTTTACAAATTAGGATATGAAGCTTGGACTGCCAAGACCAAGAGATTCATGGGAATTATGCCAGCTGTTGGATGTTGGGGTATACTTTACAATATTATTAAATTATAGCTGTCTGGGCACTCTACCCAAATCTTTACAACACATTATATACTGATTTCATTCCCCCTCCCAAAGGTAATTGTATTTCATAAATGAAGGTGTCTAAAGAAGAGTATAAGATGTGTGAAACATTAATATATTATTATTTGAAAATTATGATCTATGCTTCTTAATATTCTGACTTATCAAATATAAGTCAATTATTTTAAATTTCTATATATTTCTATAGTTTTTATTCAATATGTTATACATATATATATAAATTCTAACACACTATCAACATTTCACTTATTTCTCTAAAAGACTACATATTCGTTAACCTAAATGAATTACATAAATATTACCATGTAAAGTGGATTTCAGAGCTTAACACTCTTATTAATTTTTAATTAAGAAATTTAAAATAGATTGCTACATTTATTAATCGATCAAGATCAAAAATTTCTTGATCACATAATTTGCAAATTAGTGATTTGCTAATTGTACAAAGTTTGAAGCTACATACGTGAACTATTGTTAGGCTTAGTTTCTAAATAGCAACCAATTTAAGACAGTTATCAATTCAGGTTTACTTAAAGTTTCCAAAGCCCTTTCAACAGTATTACTAAAATAAATTTATATTTCTTACCTTGCATACTTATTGATACTTAATTGATAAAATTATTATATTACAAGTTAAATTAATCGAGTTTTCTCTGGAGATACAATCCAAAACTATAATATATGTTGAAGAATATAGTTTCCAAATTCTGTTTAACTCAAAACAGAATAATTAGCAATAGATTGTTTAACTAAATTAGCTATGTAATTAGGAGCATATTATTAAATGATCTTATGAATGATTTTGCAACCATATATTTATTGAGCCATATAATGAAACTAGATATAAATTTATGATATATACAGATTCTTCTACTATTGGAATGAGAAATTCCATTTTAGATTTATCATATGATTCAAGCATCTTGAATATGACATAATTTCCATTGGAATCGTAAATCAAAGATCTCATATTCTAAACCAATTAAGAAAGTATAGAATTCTAGATATCCTCTTTGCCTTACGAATACTCAATTAATTTCTGCATAACTCTACAACNTATATATAATATTACAAATATATATGAAATAAACTTTTTTTTTTTTTGGATTTATTAGACTCCAAAGATTTCCAATTATTTTAATTAAATAATGTATTTACCCACATTTTACAAATTAGGATATGAAGCTTGGACTGCCAAGACCAAGAGATTCATGGGAATTATGCCAGCTGTTGGATGTTGGGGTATACTTTACAATATTATTAAATTATAGCTGTCTGGGCACTCTACCCAAATCTTTACAACACATTATATACTGATTTCATTCCCCCTCCCAAAGGTAATTGTATTTCATAAATGAAGGTGTCTAAAGAAGAGTATAAGATGTGTGAAACATTAATATATTATTATTTGAAAATTATGATCTATGCTTCTTAATATTCTGACTTATCAAATATAAGTCAATTATTTTAAATTTCTATATATTTCTATAGTTTTTATTCAATATGTTATACATATATATATAAATTCTAACACACTATCAACATTTCACTTATTTCTCTAAAAGACTACATATTCGTTAACCTAAATGAATTACATAAATATTACCATGTAAAGTGGATTTCAGAGCTTAACACTCTTATTAATTTTTAATTAAGAAATTTAAAATAGATTGCTACATTTATTAATCGATCAAGATCAAAAATTTCTTGATCACATAATTTGCAAATTAGTGATTTGCTAATTGTACAAAGTTTGAAGCTACATACGTGAACTATTGTTAGGCTTAGTTTCTAAATAGCAACCAATTTAAGACAGTTATCAATTCAGGTTTACTTAAAGTTTCCAAAGCCCTTTCAACAGTATTACTAAAATAAATTTATATTTCTTACCTTGCATACTTATTGATACTTAATTGATAAAATTATTATATTACAAGTTAAATTAATCGAGTTTTCTCTGGAGATACAATCCAAAACTATAATATATGTTGAAGAATATAGTTTCCAAATTCTGTTTAACTCAAAACAGAATAATTAGCAATAGATTGTTTAACTAAATTAGCTATGTAATTAGGAGCATATTATTAAATGATCTTATGAATGATTTTGCAACCATATATTTATTGAGCCATATAATGAAACTAGATATAAATTTATGATATATACAGATTCTTCTACTATTGGAATGAGAAATTCCATTTTAGATTTATCATATGATTCAAGCATCTTGAATATGACATAATTTCCATTGGAATCGTAAATCAAAGATCTCATATTCTAAACCAATTAAGAAAGTATAGAATTCTAGATATCCTCTTTGCCTTACGAATACTCAATTAATTTCTGCATAACTCTACAACCAAAGGGATTCTTTGATAAATCATAAAAATGTGTCTTTAATTTATTAAACATTCTAGTCTTGAGTTTTATATCTCCACAACTATCAAAGATCTTTTGAACTACATAATTTCCAAAAACATCCTTCTCTATTTATGGACTAATTCTTTCCAATTTCTGGACAATCAATAATTATTATTCTGGTGTTCCAGATTCAATTAATTTCTACAATTTTCGAGAAATAATTTGATTTCCCCATAATGAATCCTATTTGAGAATTTAATTTAGTTATTACTATCAAACTTGAGATGTATATATCGGCCTCAATGTCAGGTTCGAAGTACATTTAAGGACTAGCTTCATTTGAGTGATAAACTCCCATCCCTATAACATTATCACTCTAAAGATCTTTGAAATATTGTTCTTCATTGATTGAAATCACTCTCTAAGATAGAACTTATTTATTCATTTCTTATATTGGTGATTCTTATAACCAAAGTTCTTTAATATATTTAAACTTTTGATCATTCAAAGACTGATTGGAATGGGGAGAAGATTAACCTTCGTTAATTTTGTTTTTATAGTTTCTACGTAACAGGTCTTTTTACAAACTTAAACTCTGATGTTTTTTAAACTTCTCATCCTAATCTATTTCATCTATGAAATCAAGAATCCCACTATGTTAATTAGTTAGTGGATCTAATTTGGGAGAAGTATCTAATGTTAACTGCTCGAATTCAGATTGAAGAGAAATAGTAATTGGAGAGCTAATCTCCTCTTATCTTCTATAAGATAAATTCTTACTTTTATTTAGTAGGGCTGCAGGATTGAATTGCTTATTAATAATTCATATGAAAAATATATTTAAATATTATGTCGATTATATATATAAATTCATAATCATTATTTAGCTCCTTTGGGTTGACCCTAAATTATATGTAAAATACTACTTTTGTGCATATATAGATATAATGTACATTCGGAGCATCTTTGTCTTCATTTGTAATGGCAATCGACGTTGAAATAGTTGGCTTATGAACTTATTTAACTACTACATTCCTGCATTAAAAATATTAATTCACTTTACCAATCATATTCAGGTTTCTCTAAATACTGTAATCGATGCTCAGGTAAACCATACGAGATAATAAAGAAAACTCCTTTTGGCCCTAATACTCTATGAACTTCCTATATCACCTTTTAAGCATTAGAGGAAGAAGACTCTCCACACTTAAAATCTAAAGAAATGATACTAAAATTGCATCTAAAGTTCCTTTATCTATTGCTCCATCAAATGCTCCTTCTTCAAAATCCATTGCTCTTGCATCCATATGTAAATCTAATTGAAAACTGTTTTCTTACATTTGAAATTTGGTCCTTTGTCTTTATACTTCTCTTACATTGCCTTAGTAACTACATGTGAGATATCAATATTTGTAATATTCTAATAACCTTCATCAAACATTTCTTCACTTAATCCTCAAAAATTCAATTTTATCATTACTTGAATTGCCTGCTCCTACATTCAGTAGCCTACTCTCAGGTGTGAAACATGCTTATACAAGATCTTTCACTCCTGTAAATCTCTGATACCAATCAAATGGTTCAGGATCCCTAACTATACATTCATTGACTTTACCTAGTATATCGTTCTTCCCAGTATTCTGCTTTACCATATTGAGACATTTGAAATCAAAATGAATTCGAATTAATTATTAATGTTTCTTTGTTTCAAATTTTAAGAATAAAAATATACATTTATAAAACAATACATCCCTATTCAAATTTTATTACTCATAATATATTAAAGACCTCTTTTATTTATTTATTTAATTATTTTTATTAAACCTAATATGTTTCCCAATCAAAAACCAGATTAATTTGATCTATCCTAATTTTCAGATGAATAAATAATGGAATTCATAAAAAGCAATCCTGAAGTTCATAATAAATATTATATCTATAGCTTAAATAAAAATACGATCAATTTCTTTTCTAATAAAAGAAAGCCAATATTCAAACTAATCAACTTAAAACCAAACCCTTGACAGATTCAGAATATCTTGTATTCAATATATTTATAAATCCATTTTCAGAAGCTCAAAGATATCTAAGAATATTTAGATTAAGAAGGTGGTATGATGATTGAACCAACACCTCACTTTGTACTCAAAGCCTTTGATCAGAATGGAGAAAAAGTCTTCTTTAATGTAACTGCTCATTCTGTTGTTGATGCTCCTGAAGAAAAATAACTTATTGATTATAATAATGAAGTTGGCATAAGAGTACCTATGAGTGTTGGAAACATCAAAGAAGATCATGATGTAAGTAATAATGTAAATCTAAATCAACATAGAAGGAGATACGTGCAAAGTCATTGATTTAATCATTAATCCAACAGTGGCCACCAATCTAACCTAAGATGATAATTTAAAAACCTTCTTTTGTTAACTTGTGTAAACTTATGTAGATTAAAAATACAAATTAAAGTTATAAGATAGTATTAATCCATTAATATCATTAGAATTTATCTCTCTTAAAATGAAATATAAAGGAAAAAGTATATAATTTTAAAGAGTGAAAGGAAAAAAACCACCAAAGGTTTAAGTAATAGATGAAAAACCTAATTAATCCACTCCTCAAAATAATAATAATGATGATGATGAAGATGAAACAGAATAAAGTAAAATTATTACAATCTATATAAGTAAGGAAAAGACAGAGAGAAGAATTCGAAAAATAATAAATATCTTCTCAACCACCAACTTTTGTTATTTAAGAACCTGAATGGGAATTATACTTAATTTATCCTAATATGGAATAAGAATATGATGGAGATCTGGATTTTAATGCAATTAAATAATATAGATTTTAAATTCTAACTCCTCTTTTAATAACAGGAAAAGCTATCAAATTAAAAGTAGATGAAGATTAATTCTAAATGATTGCTGGAAAATTTTATAAAATTTCATTGAGATTTCCTTCTAAAATTAATAAAGATTCTGTAAAAGCTCTCTTTCTTACAGAGAAACGAACATTGTGGATATCTGCAGATGTAAATTTTGCATCTTAAATTTTAGGTTTATAAATAAAATGAGAATTTAGATGAAGGAGAGAATCAATAAAAAGAAGAATAAGTAAATAATATTTAAAGTTCATCACAGTAATCTAATAGTAATTATGATTTATAAAATAACTTAATATTTGATATTGTTTGAATATTCATATTTGTATCAATATTTTTATTCATTATGTAAAATTTGATCGATTGTAATTAAATACAAAATAAAGTATAAAAATAAATTATATTTATTTTTTTTATTCAATCAAATCATAATCTCTAAATTGCTACCTTTAATACCTTTAGATCTACTTTAACTGTATCTATTTGTATTAAATAAATTTAAGGTTTCTTTAATATCTTCAATTTCAACTTCAGTTAAAATTAGTCTGAAAATTAGATTACTGGAGTGAATTATTTTCTATTCATAATAATATATTTGATTAAATGTTACAATTATTTTTCTGAAAATAGAGAAATCAGATCAGAGTAGATAAAATATATAAAATTAATACAAAATAATTTATTTTACTTGAAGAATAGAAGATAAAGAAAATGTGATGATCTGCTGTTAAAATAGAAGTAAGTAATGAAGTTAAAGAAATTTGAATAAATGACTAGAAATAATATTGATTTATGAGTTAATTTATAAAGTGGAATAATTCGTTTTTTTATTATAATTAATTGTTATGTTGCTAATAGCAGCTTTAGTATTTTTAGGAACAGCTAAGCATTTTACAGTAGATTTAAAAAGTCGTCATACATAAGAACATTTAATTGATATAGTAAATATGTTATAACATTCACATGCTCAATTATTGGAAGAAAATCATTATGAGAAGATTGGAAAGGGAATTGAAGGAGCACTTTAATTTGAGACAGTGATGTTAGAAAAGAACATTTAGAAAAAGAATTTAAAACATTAGAATCATCATAATAAGAAATAGGAACATCATCATAAGAAAAGAAAAAATACAAATATGGTTGTAAATGAATCATTGATGGATGTAATACCTTTAACATCTGAAGAAAAAGGTATATTTGAAGAATCTGGTGCATTATCTCCAATTGATATACATATTGAGTAATAGATGGAACATCAAAGTTAAAAGTTATTAACAACAAATAGAAATTAAGATGGTTTATATATTGCAGATGTACCTTTGACTAATATAGCAAATACAATGTTTATAGGTGAATTATAAGTTGGAAGTGCTTAAGGAAAGAATGCTTTTGATGTTATATTTGATACAGGTTCTGCTTTGACATGTATAGCTTCAGAGTAATGTAAAGATATTGGATGTTAAAAGAGTAAAAGATATAATAGAGCAGAAAGTTAATCATTTAATGAGATTGGAAAATCAGTTGAAATTGTATTTGGTAGTGGAACATTGAAAGGATTAATAAATAGAGAGAGAATTAGAGTAGATGGTTTAGATTTAAAGGATGCTTTATTTATTGAAGTTACTTAATAGATAGGAGATGCATTTCATGAAGGTGAATTCGATGGTATAGTAGGATTAGGGTATCCTCATATGACAGGAGTTCCTACTTTATTTGATTATATGATCTAATAACATAAACTACATTCAAATGTTTTTACATTCCATTTAAATAGAGCTACTGGTAATTCAGGATCATAATTAATTTTTGGTGGAAGTGATGATTCTTAAATTAAAGGAGAATGGGTTTATCATGAAGTTCATGAATAATTCTATTGGTCAATAATGGCAGAATAAATTAAAGTTGGTAATAAGGATACTGGAATTTGTACACATTAACATAAATGTAAAATGGTTGTTGACACAGGAACCACTCTGTTAACAGGACCTACTAAAGATGTTAGAACATTATTATCTATGATCAGAGTTGAACCAAAATGTCAAAATTATCAAACAATGCCAGATATCACATTTGTTATTGATGGACATGATTACATTTTATCACCTAAGGATTATATACTAACTATTACATGTATTTATTATATTATTTATATTCAATAGAATCAGGAGTTGAGGCACCTTATCATCATTCATCAATGGATTAGATTGTTGGTTGTGCTGGAACTATCTTTCCTTTGGATCTACCACCAAAATAGTATAATTTTATATTAATTGTAGAGGACCCTTATGGATTTTAGGTGATGTCTTTATTACAAAGTACTCTGCTAAATTCGATAGAGATAAAAACAGAGTTGGTTTAGCATTAAATAAGAATCTTGAATGAAATCATTAAAAATATATAGAATAATAAATCACTCATTTGTACTAAAGTATTATTAAAATGTTTACAATACTTCACTACTATATATTAATCTGACATCTTCTTTATTAAGTTATTCGAATGCTTAATCTTCATATCCTCTATCATCATGTAAACTAATAGTAGACTTCTTTGATGGCAATAGAGTTTCCATCTTATCTCTTTCAGCTTATTCTCCTTAATTATATGGAGAGATCTTATGAAATATTCTAAATATTGTATCTATAAAAATAAGACATTCCATCATAGAATGAAATTTAATTGATGCTTATTCACTTTAATCATCATATTTAGACATTAAACCACGAGTAGATATCATTTATTCTAAATATAATAGAAGTTAAGTGCATTAATCTATTCCTTAACTTAATAAAGTTGGAGGTCCAGTTCTTTTTTATTTCTCTTTACCTAATCTAAAAAATGTAATCATTGTGTCAATATTAAATTATTTGATTCTTGCCAGATATCTCTTTTTTACAGCCTTATTTTATACATAAGATTCACTCAAAGCAATTAAATATTTAATTATGAATTTCATTGTACATACTTTCAATACACTTGGTGGTCTTTTTTAAAATTGATCAGATAATTCAAACCAAAATTAATTAGTATATAAATCATTCTTTTTCATTTATTAAAACATACTATGTTCTTCTGTTTAATTAAATTCAGATCTATTTATATTACTATCAATATAATATCTCCATCTATATTAACATAAAGAAGGTGTCATTTTATTATAAAAGAATATTTTATTCATCTAACTAGAAATTTGTTAAAAATCATTTTAGAAATGTTTTTACAATTTCAATAATAAATCATCTTCTTATGAATTCCATTTAACCTTATCCAATTATTATAATTCAATGTCCATAACAAAACAAATATTTAGTATTTCATAGTAATATTTTAATTAATATATATGAAAATCATTATAATATTTATATCAATCACCTTAAAATTAAATGAAGTTTTTTGTTGTTATTTCATACTTCACTCCTTCAATTATAATATAGAGAGGTTATGTATTCCTAGAAGAATTGAACTCATCTAATATTTATTTTAATTAATTATTTTAATTCTATTCATGTCCTTTAAACTATAAAAAATATTATTAATCTTACTTATTATATATGTTCACTTAATTATCTAACCTATAATTCATTGACTCTCTATCTTAATATATGATCTTTCTCAAATAATTCTTATGTTTTTGGTTAAGTCATTGTAGCCATTACTCCTACTAACATATTCATTAAAAAAAATCCTATAAAAATAGTCAAAAATAAAAAGTAAAACACATAAATAGCTTAATGTCTTATAATTATTCTGGCTACATCTCCCCAACTATCAAAAGTCACTACTTACAACATGAATAAATAAGTTTAAGTTAAAGAATCAAATAATGGATAACCTACATCAACTTTAATAAATTAATGTCCAATCAAAGCCATAGTAAATAATAGGCCTCCTACAAAAATTATAATATGACTGACTCCAGGCAATACTTCAACGAATTTGAATAGTAACTTTTGCACATAGAGAATAGCAAGTACTATTAAAACTCTCAACATTGGTCCAAATCTTATATCTTAATAAATAGATAATGATATTATGTCTACTATTGTTGCCATTGGACCTGCAATCAACAAGAGTATTACTACATATAATCTTACTGAATATTCTTCATTTCTTATTTATGTTTCATCTTGAAATTTCTCTTCAAATTAACTCCTTTATTCATTGATAAATTATTTGAATTAAAGTATCTTCTAGTAACATAAAATACAAAAATATATCCCAAATATATTCTCTATCACTATTTGTGCATAATTTATTTAACGTAAATCACTAAATAATTATACCATAGATAGTAGTATTTATAATGATATATAAAGGTAGATTGATACTTCTGATTCATTCAATCCCCAAGATTTACGATTTAATTAATAAGGAGTTTAATCCATATCTAATAATTTCAATGCATCTCTTATTTCTATTGAATGTCTATATTCTAAATTCAAATCTTAATTTAAAACATCATCATGTTGAAAATCGTATTAAAAGTTTCTTCTTAAAGTAGGATTTGAATAATAACTCACAAATGCTCCCAATAATAAATTGATAAAATAAAAAAACATGAATAAAATGAAAAACAGGAAAAATATGCTCCAAGCTTATCCATAATATTTTGAAACTGATTAATTAACTTATAAATTCCAACTATCTAATGTTAAAACTTAAAACATTGACAACATTGATTTAAAAATATTTCTAAAAAACTTTGGACTAATTTCCTGGAAAATAGAATAAGCAATATAACTATAAACATAATATGTAAGAAGAAGTGCAAAATTTATGTATCTAGATACATATAAAATGTAAAATACATCCTTTATCAATAATCTATAATAATAATGAAAATAGTCTTACCTAATTTTTTCTAAACAGAATATACGTAATAGTAACATTATATCGGAAATAGTTATAGCAACTTCTACAGTTACGATTGCAAAATAAATATTAAGAACTAGACATAAAGGACCACTAATTATATCAATTATCATAAATCCCACACCTAAATAATCATTTATTTATACCATAATAATGTCTATTCAAATATAGTTTGTTTATGAATTTATATTTAATTAGAAAATCTATTGTTATTGCAAAGCTGAGGATAAAGTTAATTATTCTAAATCTCATATCAACTTCATCTTGTTTTCCACAAAAAAAAATAAAATTCACAAAAATCATTATTCCAATACAAGATGAAATAATCTCACTTGTTTGCAAATAGAACCTTCTAACAGAGAATACCCATCCATCCCCTTTTGTTAAGAAAGGAGGAAACAATTCTATATCTTTCTTAGAAAAAAGTCTAAATGGCATGTAATTATATTATTTTATTAATATAATATTATGATCATTTTTGAATTATAACATTGATTGTTAATAGTAGCTATGTAAAATTATTTATTATCTTATTGTATTATCATTTATATAATATAATTGAATTGAAATCATTATGAAATTTGAAGTAATCTAGGAGAACAACAAAAAGAAGTACACAATTATTTTATAATTAATTTTTATTCGTTGAATGCTCATAAATAAATTATCTGATCATCCAAACTCATAAAGTGGATCATTTGTCCATTTGTCTCCGTAAGCTTATGAGGCCTTATAAACTTTAGAGTAAATAAAAAAGAATAATATGCTTCAGCAGAATTCTTAAATCGTTAGAAGAGTTTCATCACAATATATTCAATAAACTCAAAATAATTATTAACATTCATCCAATTAAGTATTAGCTTCCCCAATTCAGCCAAGAAAAGAATTTTAAACTAATTCATCATTATCATTCATTAAAGGAGCTTTATAATCAAATCGCACTAATAAATAAGAAACAGAGGGAAGTCATAAACCTAGTTCTTAAACAGAGAGATAGATTAGTTAATAATAAACTTTGGGTAAATCAGATGAACCTACTCCATTTTTTAGAGATACTTTATCAAGTGATCGTAATAAATGTAATTAGACTAGTTTAAGTTAATATTTGGCTAAACATTAATTTTAATAACAATATAAATATATCAATGAAGAATTATAAGCATTTAAATAATAGGTTGAAAATGATGTATTAATTGAAACTGTTATTACAAAATTTGAATCACCAAAAGACATTTCTAAAAATAGTTAGTTGTTTTTAGATCAATCATAAAAGGAGAATTAGTCTCCTACAACTAAATTAATGATGAAAAAGAAATTGATCTTAAATCAGATCCTCTCTCTCGATAATCAGATTAAGATCATGGAAGATGAAGAGGCTAAAATTGCTCTTGATCCTTAAAAATCAAAATTGAAATAAAATACTAATTAATCCTCTTAGAATAATTAAATTGTTGAAAGTCTTTATGAAAGAGCATAAAAAAAGAATTCAAATTTTAAAAAACTTTTTGAAGAAACATTAATTAATAAAAATTAAGAAGAAATGAAAGAATGTACATTTATTCCAAAAATAAATAAATAGAATATATCTGGTAATTTTATGGAACGATTGGATGATTGGGTCAAGAGGAAAAATCAAAAGATAACATAATAACAAGAATAAAGTTAAGAAAGAATAATGAAAGAGTGTACGTTTAGTCCTTTAAATAAACATTTATCTAAGACTAATCTTAATCATACAGCAGTATATTATAGAAATCAAGAATGGTAAAATAGATTAAATTTAAAGAAATAAAAATTAAAAGCTTAAAATTCACTTATTTAAATGAGTGCTAAAAAGGAATAGAATACTCCAAAAAAAATAAAATAAAGATCTAATTCTTCATAATATTAAATTGATCTTGCTAAAATATTATAATCAACAAATTCATAAAATACAACAAAAAGATTAAAGAATTAATCTCCATTTCATACTGAAATTCACATACTTAATGCATCAAATAAAAAAATTGAAAATATAGATATGAAGTATTTACAATTATGTGAAATAGCTAATAGAATTAAAGCCAAATCTAAATATTGATTTTTTAACTTTTATAATATATATATATATATATCAATAATTTAATGGAATCATTCTATTTGGTTAGTGTCTGATTATTTCTTACATTTCAATATCTTCTGTTTGTTTTTTTATTTTTATATTGATCATTAACATAATAATTATACAAACAATTAAACATGTTGCTCCAAAAATTATCATATTTAAAGGATCATAATTATCTGGCAGGGTAATTTCTAATTAAAGAATTTATTTATACATTTATGATTTATTTAAACTAATGGATCTTTTACATGTCTTAAATAAATTGATATCTATTTGTTTCTTTCCTTTGTATATTATGCCAATTATTAATTTTCATAACAACCACTTATTATTTCATTTTTATCAAAAACCATACAAATTGAACTTAACTACAAGAAACAATCTTCCAAACATTCTCCAATTATTAATTTATGATAAGGAATGCTAATACAATTGGATCCACAAAAATTTTATTTATTAGTAATTGAATTAATGAGATAAGGCCATTGAAGTTCTAAAAATTTGGAATTAAAAATTTAATGTTCTGGTTAAGGTAATTAAACTTAGAATGATTGGATTTCATATGAAAATTAATTGAACTTCTCATTAGTTTTTATAAGTTATAATTAGTGAATTGTATTCTTTGTTTTAACATACATTTGATTTTAATAGGTTCCAAGATCACTTGAACTTAATTCTGATAAAGACTTCATTATTTTCACTAATATTATTATGATTATAATACTATTTTGTTCATTTAAAGCATTAGATAAAATCATAAGAAAAGAGATTGTCATAAATAAAGTACCAAAAAATCCAAACGTATAAAAAAAGAAGGCCTTTTTTAATCCTCCATCTAAATATTATATAATTTATATACTTTTAACAACTCCAAAGAGATCTAATTTATTAATTTATTCCATTTAAGAATTGTCTTGATAAAAAATTAATTATATTAATAAAAATATGAAAGAGATTTTAAATAATAAAAGTATATTATATTTAATATTAATAATAATAATTCTTATATTACTCACTTAAATTCAAAAGTACACATTTCACAAAAGTGGTTTGAATTTGATTGTAAGTATGTACAAATTGGACATTAAATATGATCATCACTTTTCATTTCTGTTTCTGGTTTAAGATTTGGCATGAACACTTATACTTCTTCATCGATTCTTACTCTATAATATATCAAAAAACCTTTACTATTTTTTTGGTTATTATTATGGAATTGAGTTATTTTATTCATTAAAATTTATGTCCATTGTTTCAATAAAGAGTCCCCAATCCATAGAAGGAATTGTCTTCATAATTGTTGTCAGATATATAGTAGTATGGGGAGGAACAACTTTGCAAATTTTAGCAGGATGTCTAATAATTAATTAAATTATTATACCTAAAATTAACCATAAAATCAGGATCAAGAGTAATTTAATAAGTTATGTGTAGAGTTTGATTTGTAGTATTATTGAGCATGAATCTTTTCAACATTGGTGCTATTTAAAGTTCAATATCACAAGGTATTAATTATTAGGGTGTCTCTCCAAATTATCTAAAGTAATAATATATATTTTAATTTACCCAATAGGAATAGTATTATGGCCATCATTCTACTTATTTGTAACTACTATATGTTCTAATTCCATTGAAAATTATGATAATTAAGTCATAGATTCTTGTTCAGCTTTGATTTATTCAGCAGTTTTATTTACATCAGTTCCAAAATCAATTCCATCTATAACATCCATCTTTTTTGGAAGAGGAGGTGGTTTTGGAATAGTAAATGATCCTTATTGTTAAACTAAGTTATGAATATTAGAATTGGGTTCTATTTTAGCAGTTTACAAATAAATGTTATCATACAATATTGTAGATGGAAAGACACTATTGCTTGTCTAAGTAGGTTTAGATTCAATAAAATAGACTGTTTATTCATAACATTCTAAGATGACTCCCTCAACTTAAACAACACTTGAAACTAATTCTACCTTTATGGTATTTCCTAATATATAAATGGGTTAAATAGAATCATATAATCCAATTTCTGTTATTTAAGAATAATATGTTTTAAATTATTACCAAAATTAAAAGGTTTCTTCAACTTCTTTTTATTTGTTGAAAAATATATTTGTTGCTATAACAGGATATTTTTTACAATCATCTAAAAATTCATTAAGAAATCCTTCAAACCAATCTGTATATTTGGAATATAGATAACATGGAGGTGGTAGATTAACCAAATATGAAAATACTAATTTATTTGTATTAGCTGTAGCTAAAATCATCTTCATCATTTATATAGCTACATTTTAAAATCTTTTTTAATTTTCAAATAACAAATTTAGAATAGATAAATTATCATTTTAAGAACCTATATGTGATTAATAGAGTATGCTTTAATAAGATAAATTGGTTGAACAACCTGTTGAATATTTGTCTTAATAATTAGGCTCTGGAAAACCAAGCAACCATTCAATACGTTATTATTAATAAGCATCATAAATATTAAGAAGATTATAGGCTAAACCTAAAAATTAACTCACAGTTTCATAATTAGCTTTATTAATTTCTTCTAATAATACTTCAATAACAGATCTGGATAGAGGTTCATTATTGAATACCATTCTTTAAATGATCAATTTAACTGTTTCAAAATCTTAACATTCAGTCAAAGCTCGTTTATAAAAGATTTAAGCTTAAAGACAAATATTATCATTTTTTGATAAAATATAATTTTGGTCTTACAATAAATATTGTATACATTAGAAAAGTTAGGAATAGAATGGAACAACCATTTTACTAGCCATTGTTATTTTTTTATCAGTGATAAATTCATAAAATTATGTTTTTTATAATCCTTAAGGAGATTATTTTTCCATAAAGAAATCAGCAAATATAGATACCAATTCTATTTGACTGGCAAATTTAACATTTATAATTGAAGATTTAACAAAATCTCTCCAAAAGGTAAAATAATAAATGAATTTAGTAGGATTTTTGGCAACATCATTTTATAATTTCTGTATTAAATCTAATAAAAATCTCATCATAATTTAATCACAATTTACTATTGTGTTTTCTGGCTATAGAACTTATAATGATTCAGTGTTTAATGGAAGTGCATGAATGTAAATGATTACATTAACATAATGTAACAAAATTTATTATATTGCTTATCTTACAGAGTAATCAGGAGCACACAATAATACATTAAAAATTCTTTATTAACGATTGATTATTAAATGTTAAAAAACTGAAAAAGCACTTGTTGGTATAATATTAATGAGATTCATAATAATAAGTACATAATTTTTGATAGTAGAATGATCAGATGACCTAGCAATTAATTCTGTTGCTATATATGTCATATTTGATAACAATTATTGAATCTTTTAGATTTCCTTTATATCCTAATAATTATTATAAATGCCAAAATATTAAGGTATTTATTCTGGATTTGTGATTAAAGTATAATCCTTAGGATATGGAAAAGCTTCTCCAATTTCTTTAACAAACCTAAAGAATTCTTCGCTATATATATGTCTTTCCATCATAAATCTATGATTATCATGCCAAATTTCTTAATATAAGGAATCTGGTATATGTTATTGAGTCATTTTCTTATAATCTAATTTATATGATAATTCTTCATTATTCTCTTCTTACATAACACTGTCAAATTTTTACATAATCTCTTATTTTTATTATAAATCAGTAAAATTCAATTCTACTTATTCTTTTTGTATTCTCTCATAAACTAAAATGTATGCATTAGTGCTACTACCAGACTCTTAAAAATCTTAAGCATCTTCAATATCTTTGCCTCCATAACATTCATGTGGTAATCTTTTAATATCAAAATCTTCAATTACGGAATCATTGAATTTTAACCATTTCTCATCCTTAGTATTAATCAAACTATAATAATGTCCATATTAAGCTGTTCCTTTATGAACTACTACTCCTTTTAATTTATATTAATAATATGATTATTATTTAATATCTTAATTTAACAATCCTTCTCTTGTATATTATTATAGATTAAGATTATGTGGGAATTCTAAACGAGTACTTAATTTTTCATTCATGAATATATCTAAATTAAAAACAATCCTTTGTATATGTACTATCAATACATTAGGTAAAGTTTGTAAACATTAACGTTTAATAAGATCATTTTTTTATTTGCATTATTCACAATAATAATCTTTAATGACTTCTCCATTTATCATACTTTCAAATGATTCATGAATTGATTTTACACCTTTAACTTTTACTGAAAGAGTATAAAAAAGATCAAATTTCTCTCTCATATTTTTACATCCATTACATATCATTTAACTACAAGTTTAACCACCATAAATAGATTCAATAAATTGTTACCATCCTTTATTCTTTAATTAATTATCTAAACGATCAAAAAATTGATTTAAAAATTCTTAAGCATCTTATTATAAAGAAACATTAACTGGTTGATTATCATAATCTTTAAAAGAATAACAAAAATATTAAGGATTGACATCTGGTCTTTCACTTAATTCTAAATAAGCAAGTAATCTCTAGAATTAATGAATAGAATTATCATCTATTTAATGTTCAAGACCTTAATTATCTTTGTAGTGAATAATTTTTGCTTCAACACCATCTTCAGCTCTCAACATACTATATCTGAATTCAGGAGTCATAAAGAATTACTACATCATTGCATTCATATAACAAATACATCCCAAATTACGAATACCAACAAAACCATGATATGTTTTTGGATTCAATTTTATATCAAATCCACTAAAAATAATGATTTAATATATAATTGAATTTAAATCTAAAATCTCAGGATTGTAATTCTATTTTAAATACAATATTATTATTCTATAAACTATTTTCCTACTCTCTGGAGATTTACTCTTCACATAATCTGGTGTGTATTATTTTTAGGGTGTAAGTTAAAATGTATTTAAATGGAAACAAAACAAATGAACTTAGTATAAATACATGATTAATTATTATGTCAATATACTTTAATCCACAATACTTAAACTTTCTAAAATTGATAATAAACCTGTAAGAGTTTTATCTGATGTCAATCCAATTCTTGATTCTGTTGGTTCATAATCTTTTAATTATGCTATTATATTTTCAGCAAATTATTTATCACTATATTTAGATTCTTGAATTAATTTAGCTAATAAATCAAAATATGATTACGAATCTTTATTTTCGTTTTTTGGAAATAATTCAATTAATATATTTATTAAAGTTTTACCCAATTGATTTTAAGATTTGAATATTAAATATAAAGAATTTCCTGCAAATTTTCTTATTAATAATTATTTAGGAGCATATAAAAATTGTTCATAACGTTATTTTATTGTTTGGATAGCTGAAACAAAATAATCTAAGCAATTTCCCAAATTATATCCTACAATTGTAGTAATTAATATTAAAACAAATTCAATTATAAATCTATCATCAGTTATATCTACTTACATTCTGATGATACATTTTAATAAATCAACATAATCTAATTATATATCTAAACCATCCATAAACTTTACTAATTCTAAGAATTCCTCAGTCTCCTTCACTCTTAATAAAGGTTTATTGTCAGATGATGATGGATAAGTACCATCTATTAATTAAGCAATAATATCAAATGTTGCTTAGATTGGTTATTTAACATGTTATTGAATTTAGTATATGTTATTGAATTTAGGTTGAAATTAAGCAGCAATGTGTTTACTAAGAATATTCAAAATTAAACATTATGCCAATTTAACAATTTTAATATTTTCTTATTCTAAATTATTTAAAATAGATTGTAATTATTTGAATCCTCCAAATTTAACAAAGTTTCTACAATATTCTTCAGTATATAAAAGATGTTCTATAATTTTAATTGAATATATTAATTGAT